ATTTGGGTTCCCCCCCCCCCCCTTTTTTCCTTTTTTTTTGGGGGGGGGTTGTAAATTAATTGGTTTTACCGGTTAGGCCAGAAAAAAAAAGATCCCCGGTCCCCCCCCCCCCCCCCCCCGTTTTGGTTTTCCCCCCCCCGTTATACCCAGAGGGTCATGGTTTCCTTCTTTTCGGGGGACGGTTAGTAAATTTTTTGGTTTAACCGCCAAGCCCTGCAAACCAGGGGTCCGGGTTTCCCCCCCCCCCCCCCCCGTTTTGGTTCTCCGCCCCCCGGTATAACCAGAGAGTCATCATTGGAGAGACCGGAAGGGTGGGTCATACTTCCCTCGGAGAGGTGGAAGAAGCAGACCAACGACAAGGGCCTGGCGTACTACCTCGACCTCGAGACGGGCAAGACCCACTGGTTCCCTCCGTGCGAGCAGTGCTACAAGGTGAAAAAGAACGAAGGAGGTGTTGGTTATCTTTAGCTTGCTCAATAGGTTGACAAGGCGAGACCCCCAGATACCGCCCGACCGCGCGGGGCGGTGATTTGTCGCGGAAAACGAACATGTGTGCGCTTCTTCGGTGGTGCTTGATGATGGTGTACCGATCGTAGAGTGAGGTGGAATAATCATGCTACTCCAGACGCTGGGAGACGACCCTTCCGCAAGCAGTGTTGGGGCAAGATTTATTTCGGCGTTTCTTCCCGTTCTGGTAGAGGGGGAAGACGATCGCCAGGCGCCCGTTCAGCATGTTAATTACCAAAGTGCTTGCCAATTTCGTCGATTTTGTGATACCTTGTGGCACGAGGTACCACGAAAGTATATTTGTTACATAGCATTTGTACGTAGATGTCGTTTGTGCTGATGGCTGGTAGATGATGATGCAACCCTACCCGCTCACTTTCGGCTCGGGCTCGGTGCGCAGAGGGAAGGCGAGAAGGTCTGCATGGATTGCGAGGAGCAGGTGTACTGCGGCCGCTGCTGGACGATGGCGCACAAGGAAGAGCACATGGCGGGGCATGTGTGGAAGGGCGCCGACTCCGGCAAGTACCATTCCGAAACGACAAGATTTTTTGTGCACAAAACATGCCCGTGCCAAAGTGCGATTTGAACGGACGTGTTTGACGGGTTATTACGTAGCCGTCACGAAGACACCCGTGTTCCGCGGAAGGAGCCGACTCCTCTGCATGTGCTGACCTTGACACGCTGACCCGCGAACCGCCGTGCCAAACCCAATCGATCAAGGCCCCCTTTCTTCTACCCGTCATTCCTAATAATTATCGTCCTTTCTGAAACCTTGCAGGTAAGGAAGACCTTAGCCCCGGAGAGAGACACTGCGTCGACTGTGGATTCCGAAAGGCCAAGTGGGTGTGCCTTCAATGCAAGGTGTGCCCCCCTCCTCTCGTCCTTCTTCTATTCATGAGTGTACCCCTCGTCTCCCGGTTTGGGAGTGGGGCACGGAGAATCTAGGTTTATGCGACTGATTGATGCTCCTCGGGGAGAAGCCAGGGGGGGTTGACGGCCCCCCTGGTGTTTAAAAGACACACTCTGTACCACCCCTATCATCTCCTGAAACACTCCGCCTAGCCGTTTGACCAAACGTGACGTTCACGGCGAAGTACCGGTATCCCAGTCGCCGCCTCCATCACTTATCACTTGTGGCCGGGCCTTCTCCGCACTGTTTCAGTAAGTTTTTTTCGACAGTCCCGTGTCTGGTGAGTCCAATTGCTTGTTTCCAAAAACATATGGCGAGTATGTTGACTGCTTGCTTCTTTTGCGCCCTCCGATGGACCCCCCCACACACACACACACACTCCTCAACCCTTTTCAGCCTTCCTTCCTTCCTTCCTTCCTCCCCGCCAGGATGCCCTGTGCGGCGAGTGTAACGCTAGAATTCACGGGAGTGGACACCGCAAGAACCACCAAGTCGAGACGTACGCCAAGTCCAAGAAAGGCTGGCAGGTACGTGTAACGCGTGTTCGGGGGTGTACTGGTTCTTCTGGCTGGTCACGGGCTGGTGTCTGCGTAGAACTGTCGACTGATACATAAATACGTGGTACGTACCAGGGTTTATGGCAACGAGCTTTGTGTTGTCGTCTTCTTGGGCCCGCGGTTGTCGAAATACCGATATTGTCCAACACAACCCCCCAACACGCCCACCACACGATGGCTCGCCCTTGGTATGTGAACGAACGGCGCACCCGGTGCCCAGTGGAGATATGTAAAGGCAACAAAAGCACGCCCTTCAGCCGTGTAAAGGATGGCGAGCACGCGTTGCCCCCACCCCCCCCTCACCATTCCGAAAAACCTCGCCCGCCCTCCGACGAAAAACAAAGACTGTGGAGGGTAGAACGGACAACGAGCCGACCTACTACTTCAACGCGTCGACGGGAGAGAGCACGTTCGACAAGCCGCAAGATCTCATGCTTCCCGAGGAGCTCGTCGAGCACCTGCGCTTCCTCAAGTACAAAGAGACCAGCGAGAAGTGAGTGTGTAGTCGAGCGCACCTTTGCTGGACCGCCTGCTACGTGATTTCGCTCGTGATGTCGCTCCCATACTGGCCAACCAAGGGATGGGATTGTTTTTTTTTTTTGGCCGGTTCCCTCAACGCTTCTTTGAAGACCATGTGTGTCCGTGTACCGTTTTGTGTCTACAGTGGCCCGATGCTCGTTCGGACAGTTGTTCGTTGTTTCCAGTATATTGCGCTGGTGGTTTCCGTAGGAAGCCACACGCGATGCAAGTAGCGCATAAACTAAAGGATCTTGACCGCTGACAAAACGAGTGACAAGAGAGGCGCCCCCGCCCGGTTGAAGGCGTGTGCCGAAGGAGAACAACAAGGGTGCACGATGTGCGCGTGTGGTTGCCATTGTTGTAGCCTCCGTATGTGCAACATATTTCTTCGGTGTAAACGATGCCACGCCACACACGACTCAAAAAAAGGTATGTGCAAAAGATCGAGAAACTGCAGTTCCAGCTCGAGGAGCTTATGTACGAGAAGGACAAGATCGCATACCAGTGGGCCAACGCACAAAAGGCAAGGCGAAAGAGAGAGGATTTGCTTCCACTTAAGCGGGGAGGGAGGGAGTACGAAGGGGACGAAATGAGTACTTTGTGTCTTCTGAGGGAGGAGCATGAGGAAGCTGTTATTGTGTTCGCCATTTTGACAAAGGACCCATTGCCCTTAGTCAATCCCCCTGCGGTGCTAACACGATCGAAAGGCTAGTTTTCGTGGGCACAGGTGAACAAATATCGTCTCTAAAACAACCACCGAGCGACGTAGCTAACGAGAATCTTGCATAGATCGGCGTGCGGGAGTGACAGCGCGAACTAACGAGGTTCATTGCGGCTTGCGGCTTGGCGGTCGCGCCGATTTCCTGTCTGTACCGATACGACTCTGTGTTTTCGCTTACAAATTAAGTTGAGCCTGTTGTCTCCTCACTTTTTTATAAAAAAACTCACGTACTTACGCAATAGGACATGAAGGCCGACCACGGGACAGGAGGGGGACTGTCTCTAAGTGGCCTCAAGTTTGGCGGCAGCGACAAGAAAAGCAAGAAGAAGGCCGCGGCCGAAGACCCCAGGACTCGAGAACAGGTGAACTACCGCGCTACCATACATCGCAACGCGAAACTTTTGAAACTTCAGTCCATCTGAAACGAAATTGCAGGTGAAAGACGGGATGATACACGCGTTCGTGCTGACCAAGATAAAGTGGTGCGTATTTAGCTTCACCCTTCGTTGTACCCCCTCCGTCGAAGGCGCAAAAACATGTTTTTGCCGGATTCACTTGACGAAAATGTCGTGTTGAGGATGCTGGCGAGAGCTGGCGAGTTAGAATATATTATGTTCTCCGTGCTTCATTTCATGTGTTTCGATACCATCACCCCGTGTCAAGATCCTTGTCGATTAATGGAAGGCACAGAGAGAGACGGATCGGATCTTCATTCGCACGACATCAAGACTCGCGTGAAAGGTGTTGTACCGCTTGCACTATCGTCATTGAACGTAACCTAGAAAGATTTGTGTCGAGACTGCGACGCGATTCCTTTCCTTCCCGCTGAATGAATTCCACAGGAGGAAGGCTACAAGAAGAGCCTGCTCCTCTCCCGGAAGGACAAGAAGGACATGGGCTTCGAGGTCAAGCTCAAGAAAGAGACGGTGCTAGACTCCTAGCTGCTTGTTTTTTCTTGGTCTGTGCTGACTCTCGCCTACTGTTTCCGTTGAGAAACCGCGAAGGTGGTGTTGTCGGTATCCCGAAACTCTGTTGCCATTTTTCGATTTTTTGACTGTCGATTTTGGCCGGAAGGGGCTATTTGGTTGTCGAGTGGCCGATTTTGTACTTCCGCAGGTCACTAGAACAACGATTGCTGACCACTTTTTGTATGTAAAGGATGCAACGTAGTCTTTGGGACCCGTCGGAGAAAATGTGTGTCGAGAATTATCTCCCGCCGCCAACTCGGCTTCGGGGGGGGGAGGTCTTTGTGGTTTCTGAATCTCGACATTCTGGGCCAAGCTTCCGCACTGACTCACCTTTTTATTGTTTGAAGTCGGAACTGCCCCATCGATTACGGTTTCGTTCCCGCTGTGGGCTGCCAACGGTTGTTCTTTTGAAGTTGGTTTGAGTGGTGGAGCTTGTATCCCGTGTGTCCGACTTCAATGCTTTTATTAATGGGTCTCAAAGCTTTTGGCCACGCCCTCAGCGGTGGCAGTAGCAGTTGATATCTGGGAAAAGCATGAATGGTGAACACCGCCTAGAGAGAATCACAGACCACGGACTTTGCCGGCAGAGGAACGCAGATAGATGTAAATATTCCACGCGTCGTTTGGCGGAATGGACCAGAGGAGGACGAATTAGCGCACTGGCGGAGTGAGAAGCAACGCCCGCGTGAGATATGTGGGGAAGAACGATTACCGACAGGATGTTTGTGGTGCAGTCGATGGAACAATATGCACCCGTCGCGCTCGGGGAAGGGTTTTACAAACTGAGACGCCGGCGGCTACATGTTTCTCGGGCAAGGAAACAGAACCATGTGTCTGGGGAATGCTGAAACTAGACACACGACAAGCAGGCCGGGAAGCGCGAGAGGTGCAACCAACACTGGTGGCGAGAGGTCACATTTTAGGTAGGTTGGGCCCTGACTACAACCTGGGGTGGGGAGTGTTGCGCGCCGAAGTGTGCCGCTCTATGCCTCATCTTGGATAGTGTCGTCAATCCAACTAACACGGCTGGCTGGAAGCATAGATAATGAGTTCAAGGTCGATCCCGTCCTCTCAACCTCCCCCAACCTTCACAGGTAGGTTGTGATCGGTGTGCAACCTGCCCCTCCAGCCAACAGAGAAATGACAGAGGGCGGGTGGGCGGGCTACACCAAAACCAACGCCAGCGAAAATCTGTCTCTTGGAACTATTGTGTCAGCCACCGCACTTTATCAGTAGACCCGTCCAACAAGGACCTCGTATAGAACCACACGGGCTTCCCTGATCTACCTCGCTGCTTTTCTGTCTGCCGCTGGTGCTGCAAGCGCTGCTCGTGCGCTGTACGCCACCTCTGAGGGAGCACGTCAGTTTTTCTACCATCGACTACAATATCACGCTCGTGAGAGTCCCCTCCGTCGGTAGTACTACCGGCGATGCTGGCGCTGCTGTTGTCCGTTCCTCCTAGACTTTGTCGCTCGTGAGTGAATCCGTCCGTAGTGCTCTACCGGTGATGCCGTCGCCGCTTGTTGTCCGCTCCTACTACTGCTGATTCGCTTTGCCGGCGGCGCTTGGCGCTGTTGCTGGTGCTCGAGCGTCCGTATCCGAGGCGGCGGTAGCATCGGCCACAACCTGCTGAGCCACGAACAGGCTGACGTCCTTGGAGCTCCAGTAGATGACGTGCGAGCCCAGCGCGAAGATGTACTCGTTCGTCACCTCAAATTCCTTCTCCTGTTGGCGACAAGGACATCATTCCGAGTGGGAAATATTACAGCGAGAAGGGAGAAAAGACCCCGAGCAGAAAATAACAAGACCAGCTCCTAAAAATCGACGATCTGTGCGTGCAGAGCGTAACAACTAGCCCGAACTGTCTCCGGATTGCATGGTTCGAGAGAGGGGAGAAACCTGATGAAGAGTATTAAAAGCGCGATTCGATTGCGGCCTGTCGCTGCGGTAGATCAATCGACACGACCCCAAGCATTTCACATTCTTGGACTGGTGTTTGTACCCCCCCGCACGAAGTCCTTGGGCCAGTCAGTCTTGCGCGCGGAGAGCGAGAGGAGGCAAGCAGTGAAAAATAGGCACCACACAGACCCTACGTCAACGCGTATGCAACCTTCTTGTACAAACGCCTTCTCATTTCGACGCCCTGTTGCCCATGATCGATGAAAACCCCCCCAACACGAACGAAGGTCTTCCGGTCTCAATCAAAAGACGGCCGGCATTCTACCGTCGTGGTCCGCCTTTAAGCACCGCCTCTCGTGTGTCCTGCACGGTGTTTCTAGAGCATCTCTTTCACGACAACAACTAAACAAACCAAGGATTCCAGAGAGAGAACCTCCCAAAAATGCCCCCTCAACCATTAGGCCAACGCAATGTAACACGTCACGGTAACCAGCATACCGCGGGGAGAGGAGGGGGAAAAGAGTGGGCAGGCAACCTCGTGGGCGGGAGCAATCGGAAGCGCCGAGAAATCATGAACGCGCGCACGACATATTCAGGGTTGCCGGAACATCTGATGAAAGGGTTTAGTCGTGTGCGTTTTATCACAAGCTACAAAAGCTTGGTGTTGTTTGTCTGCACCGCACCTGCAGACAGTAGTCCACTCGTCTGCCGCCCGCCAGGGCCCCGTTGCGCTCGAGGTCCTCCTCCATCACCGCGCTCTGCCACGCCGCGCGCGCCGCTCGGCGCTCTGCCGTGCCTGTCGTCGCCGCCCCGTTACCTGGCCTGGAGTGACGGTGGCCCTCTTCGGGTAACTGTTCTTGCTCCTCCTTCTGTTGCTGCTGCTGCTGCTGCTGACGCTCACCCGGTATACCGGCGAGGGAGTTCAAGGAGGCTTGGGAGGCGGCCGTGCTGGCGGTCTCACGTACTGTCAAGCGGGTAACACCGCCCACCCCTGTCGCTGCCAACGTTGCCATGGTGCCGTCGCCGCCGGCGGCGGTTGGGGCAGCGGCGGCACTGTCGAACCCTCCTCCACGAGCGTGACCCTCGCGTGATAAAGTCGCAAACTGTGGTGACGAGGAAGGGCTACAATTTGCGTGCGGGTTTCACAAGAATCGGACCGAGTGATCCGAGGAGCCAGCACCAGCAGCCGCGGCAGCAGCAGTAGAGGAAGCAGCAGCAGCAACAAGGACGGTGGGTTTCGGAAAAACAACAAGAAGGGTGGCAAGAGGGTACACCGGAGTGAGCAGGGGTACGCGAATTGTCGCGAACACCAATCCGCTCCCCCCCCTGGAGGCGAGAAACAAATTGCGATCGAGCGACGCATTGTTCTGTGGCTTCCTGCTGTTCACCTTGACCACACTCATTGTGTCTTCGCCCATGAAACTCGCGTCGCCATCATGAGCGTGATTGTGACGAGGTTTTGCCCTTCGAAGGGCAGCATGAACAGAGGGTTGAACTGCTACAAAAAACGAACTACAGTAAATAGCCTGAAGAATTGTCTTTCAAGTCCACATGTAGACTTGTCATCGAGAGCAAGTTTTTTCGCACCTGAATGGGCTTTCTGGAGGCCCGGAACTCTCGTTATCGTCTTGGTCGCCGGTCTGTTCGTCGATGAGCCCGATCGACTCCAGAGAACGCTCAATGCCCACCTCCGCTCTCCTCTTCGTCTCGCATGCCCTGGAATTGCAACACACCCCGAGGGACAGCAGGAATCAGACCCTACATAGCCGTTTCAACATCAACGTAGGTACCACATCATCACTAACAAAGGACAATCACGACGAGGGCAATAGTAGTATCGACAAGAACAACAACAACAACAACAACAGCAGTAGCAACAACAGACAATCAACAGAGGGGCCCCGCCGAACGTCAACCTGGCGCCGAATCTCTCAATTGATACGTGCTTACTGGGCATTTTTGAAGGAAACACACCAACCAGCACAGCTCCTTACCACGCGCGCGCACCACACGGCTAACGTACAAGTCAGGGCTCTCGTAATTTCCTAGGCTAACGTCGCCGCTATCACCAACCACCACCACCTGCTCCATATGTCTTGCCACCACCGCTGGACCTGGTAGTGCACCCTCAATCCCCCGGTCCACGTCGGCAAGATGACCGGCTCTTCCGGGGGGGGATCCCCCCCGTCGTTCGCGCCTTGAACGTCGCCGTTGCCGGCCCTCAGGAGCGGCTCCAGCCGGAACGCCACGGGGTCGTAGGGGTGGAAGATGTTGAACAAGCGTCGACACCTGATGCAAGAGGAAGGCAACACCGCCGGGGAGAGAGAAGAGAAGAGGAGAGGAGAGGAGAGGGAGAATGGGAGATATTTACAGAGAAAGAGACGGGGAGGTGTAAGAAGTTGTCGTTATTGCCGTCGTCGCCGTCGTTTTTGTTGTTTTCTTCATGAATTGTAAACCGTTCTGTCCCTCTTCTCCCCCTCTTTTCAAGGGCACAAGAACTTGTTTGCGAGCAGGTGCTGCAGGATTGGTGACCGCGGTGTAGAGTGGAGGTGGAGGTGGCGCCGGACAATATGCGGTCGTCGAATAGACATCGGGTCTCAGGCTTCAACGAAACAAAAATGACACTTTTCACCGAAGTATGAACGTTACGGAACCAAGGGCCTACCTAACGGCACCATCATCGACAACGAACCGCCAAACGGACAGCCAACACTTCAACCCCACAACTGTCCGGCGGTTTTACCCTGTGCGCTGCCGGCAAAATGCTAGTAAGCTTGTTACCCACAACGAGGAAATCCACGATGGTCGAGTCAGTTTCTCCGGGCATTAGTTGCTGAAAACGTGGTTCGCTGACCCATATCGATAATTCCAAGCCTCTCCCCGTTACATCCCGGAAACGTGGAATGCCGAAGGGATAAGACACGCCCGTGACGGTGTCATTCATCTGTATCCCCCTGCCAGCCTGCCCCTCTTTTTCTCTTTGTGACCCTATCCCCGTTCCCCCTCTCTTCCGGTCTGTCTCTGCTTCTCCTCACCCCGGCAGCTTGAACGCCTTCCCAAGCCTCCGGTGCTGCCCGCGGATCATCAGAAACATCCCGATCGGGCTGCCGAGGCAGAAGACGTTCTCCACCCGTGCCGAAAGCTCCGGAAACTTGGTGCTGCCTCGGTAATACCGCAGGCACCCCTCCTCGCCTTCCTGCTCCTGCCCCTGCTCCTGCGGTGTTTTGCCTCCGACCCCCACCCCCTCCTTCTCCCCCGGTCTCCGCCCTTGTTCTAGACTACCAACATCGACGTCGTTCGGACTACCCTGACCATCCGCAGAGCTGCTGCTGCTGCTGCTGCTGTGGTTGTCGTTGTTGTTGTTGTCGTTATTGCTGTCGTTCGTTGTGGTGGTGGTGTTCCTGTTGCTGCCGCCGTTCCTGGGAACGGGGACGGGGGTTGCGGAAGGGGCGCTGGCCCTCGTGTCCCCGGGCCCGGGAGGAACGCCTCCTCCTCCTCCTGCGCTCGGCTGGTTGGCCATGATGTCGAAGCAGATGATGGCGCCTAGGCTGTGGGCCACGATCGAGACTTTCCCGCTCCAGTCCCTATTGTTTTGAAATACAAAAGGAATGGAACTTTATAGAAGCCGGATACGAGCGGACCAACTTTTCGCGGGCGAACGGCAAGTGGCTCCAGCTGTAGCGTTCCATAATTGCCCAAGGACCAAAAAGACGAGGACTGCGACCATCTCCAGGTACCGTAAAAAGGCAAGGACCCTTCCGGACGAAAAACACAGTCGAGAGAGTTACCTCGCGCGTTAACGCAGCTATTATTGTCGAGTACTCGCGTTTCCCTCATCCCTTCCTCACCTCGTGTGCTTCCGGAATAACTCCAGGATGCGGTTGATCTCCTGCGTCACCTCTTGCACAATGACCTGCCATTTCGTTTCAAGCACGCGAGGTCGCGCGGGGTTCATGCAGGGTGGTTAAAAAAGACAAGACAGCCACGTGTCGAGCGGGCAAAATTTTGTCGGGGCGGGGGTGGGGGTGGCGAGGACGGGGTCTCCTTTGATAGAAAACAATTCGTGAGGATGGCGGCGGGCAGTACGCGTGCCTTCCAAAATGCGAGAGCTCCCGAGGAGGTGTGCCGCACCATCCATCCGCACCGTTTTATGCGTGAAAACAGCGGCGTAAAGGCGCGTGTTCTCCCGCGTAGGGGAGGCACCGCGTGATAAACGTCACCAGGTGCATCTACGTACAATCTGAGCGTCCAACAATGGGGCCTACAAAGGTAAAATCACAAAGCTACATTTCTCTCTCTCCCCATCCGCCTAATAGTCCTCCTTATTGTGTGCCAGTCAGTCTCGACCTCTCCCTCCCAGTATCTCGTTCGTACCTGGTGATACTCCGGCGACATGAAGTACAAAATATCCAGCAGCGTGTCGTTCGTGAAGGCGCGCAGCGTTGGCGCCCTCGGCAGCGTGATGTCCCAGATACTCAGCCCTCCGCTCCCGATCCCGCTCCCGCTCCCGCCCGCCCCCGTCGCCCCACTGCCCTCCCCCCTCCCCGGCCCCGGGGCCCCCTCCGATCTCGGCCTCCTGGTGGCGCCGCTTGGAGGCGACGTGCCTGGGTGGTCCTTGCTACTACCCTCCGCAGCACCTCCGCTCCCGCCTCCTTCCCTGTACAGCCTCCCCTTGAAGCGCGTGTGCCACTCTACCGGGAGGTATTCCACCCTCCCCAGACCTGTCGGCACCTCGCCTAAGCAGTCCCGTTCTTCTTCTTCCTCCTCCTGCGTCTCTTCGGCTGTTGCGGCGCCGCGCCCGTCTCCGCCTCTGCCTCCCCCACCGCCGCCGAAATCTTCGCTGCCTCCGACACGTCCCCTCTTGCGGATGCCCTTCTTCTTGCGGAGCCCCCGCAAGTCTTTGGAATTCAACACCACCTAAATTGTCGTGGGTTGGCAACAACGACGTGGGGATGCAGCACTGAGGTCAAGAACTTTGGGACAACAACAACAACAATGTGAACACAACGAGTTCTGCATGGAAAAGGGCATTGGCACAGGACCCGCCGCACAACGGCGATGGAGTCGCTCTGCAGCAAAACTCTTAACAGTGACCCCGTTAAAGTTTCACAAAGAGGAAGGCCGCCTACTCCCAAGCTACTGTCTGTAGGATAGACCTCAATAAACAAAACAAGCGCTCGAAGGGACAGCCAGACTGAGTGGTTATATCTTCTGAGTCCAAGCTCAGAACTTAAAGGGCTCTTGCACCTGGCGCATGGCTGATCAAGTCGTGAAATGTGCGCAATGACGAGCTCCGTATTTTCTCACACAAAAACCAAACCCAACCCGTACGCCAAGCCCACCCATCTCCATGTTGACACCTCCACCGAGCTTACAGCCGTCACGAAGTGAACATCCACCCCCAAGAAACCAGAACGCTTGCTTCTTCATAACCTCTCACCTCCTCGTGGTGTGCTCGCATGGTGTCGCAGCACTCGACCAGCGATCTTAGCTGGACCATGCCCAGGTCCACCGACATCAATGCGTCGCCGATACCGTGGACGACAAGCACCAGGTGCTCCACCCTCTCCTCCAGGTCCGAATCAACCTTCATGTTACAACATGGGGTTGGTTCGCCACAAAACGTTTGTCACCCATATGTACGCCATCGGGAATTTGACGTTCTGAGTTTGTCTGTCAACCCTGTTCCTCCCTTAGCACCCGACTCGGGCAGACAGTGGAACCCTAACGGTTGCATAACAGCAACATCATGTTTGCGGAAGGAAGGGGATGGGGTGGAAAACGCGACAGTTGTTTCGTTGCACAGGTGTTTGTACAAGGACGCATCGACAAGCGACGATCGCCAAACAACGGCGGTGGAACCAGATAACAATAGAAGACATCTAACCACCCCCGTCGCTCTCCCTCCCTCACTGCTGACAATCAACCCTCTCGCGCATTTTTTCACCTTATCGGCTCCCTCGGCCCGACAACCATACTGTGAAGAACAGGAAGAGGAGGGGTTTCGTTGAACTCTCGTCCCCTCTCCACCATCACCCTCCCCGGAAGCGGAACCGCTAGCGTGAGTCGGGCCCGACGATGGACTTTGCTCAGATTCGGTAGAAGAGCCGGTGACGGCCTGATCTTCGCTCGCATCCAAGGACGACTCAGAGGCATAAGGTGTCCCGCTCGACGTTGGAGGGTCCGGGTACGGCGGGGCGTCGTCGTCGTCATCGTTGCGCCCGGTTCCGGTCCCGTCCTCTTCCCTCTTCTCGCGTTCTCCTTCGTCCCTGCCCCCCCCCTCTTCTATTCCCCCTTCCTCCTCTACGGGAACTCCCCTGAACACGCGGCGGCGGCCGAAGAGGGAGAAGGCGCTGCCCAGGTTGCGCTTGACGGAGACGATGTCGGTGAGGGAGCGGAATTGTACCAGCTCGTCGGCGACCTGTGTGTGCCAGCAGCAGCAGCAGCAGCAGCAGCCGCAACGGCAACCGAAACAACAGCCGCAGCAGCAGCCGCAGCAGCAACAGCAGCAGCAACAGCAGCAGCAGAACCAGCAGAACCAGCAGCGACGACAAAGGTATGGGTCAGGAGCAACCAATTGACTGCTCGGTGGAAACGTGGTAGCAGAGTTTTTATTATGTTTCAGGCTGATCGTCTGCAACAAGAATGAGTAAAAAAACATTGGCTGTCTAATGAAACACAAGGGTAGCAACAACGACAACAACGACATCAACAACAATATCCAAGGGAGGATGGGCAGCGCACACCTGTACGGTAAGTAGAACAGTCGGCGATAAAGACCCGCCGCCACCCGGTTTTCCTCGAGCACCCTTGTCCCCCACCTCGCCCGACGATCGAGCGCCAGGGGGAGGCCCCCCTCCCTCCCGGCACTCCAAGTACCAGGCGAGGAACCGATACGCGTCTTCCAGAATAGCCGCAGCTCGCAGCGGGTATGGCTCGAGGCCCACGGGCCCTTCGTGGTAGTCCTCGTCTACGTCGGTTTCTCCGTCTTCGTGATCCTCCTGCGCGTCTTTCCCCACGCCACCTGTTGTTGTTGTTGCTGCTGCTGCTGCTGCCGCCCCGCTTGTGCCTCTCCTCTTCCTGGGGCGGGGGTAGGGCCTTGCTCCCGTGTCCCGCATCCATACCGACCTGCATACCTCGTCGCCCTAAAATCGTGTGCGGGAAGGGACCGGGGGGGCGGGCTGTCAGGCACAAGACGAAGCACCTCCATCGCTCTCGTCCTTACGGGCGAGGGCGATAGCAGCTGACAGAGACAAATGGAAGCGGAAGTAGAAATGTGCTTTTGTCTGATAGTCGGGGGTCCGAACGCATATCGCGGACCCCCTCTGGCATATCCTCGGAGCACAGACGGGACCCAGCACCTCGTCTTTCCCCCGTGTCGTGTCACAGGGCACGCAAGGTGGGGCAAACAAGTACCCGGCCCAGTGAGGCGCTCGAGGGATTCGTTTGCGAAGGGCAAGGGGAGAGGGCGGAGAGAGATAGAGACCTTAAGATGCGCACTTTCGTTAAACAACAAATCAAGGATGGTTTTATGTGTGGAGGGGTTGGGAGAGGGGCGACGAACGTAAGCTGGCACTTGTGTTAAGGTTCGCCGAAAGTCACAGGCACTGTATGGATAGTTCAAGAAGCACTTGTTGTATCTACATGCATCCATTGTACTCCAGATATATGCTACCACAATAAAGCGGTCACCCGTCAGCGGTCTTCAATGAGTTGTGGAATTTCCATTCCCGAATGCTAATACAACAACCTGGCCGGAGAAGGGCCAGAAAACGGGCCGCATGAGCATCTCTTGGACGCTGACGGCGTGTCGCCCTTGCTCCACCAGGACGTCGTCGGGCTTAACCTTCCGTGTCGTTGTTGTAGTCGCAGTCATCGCCGGGGAGAGCGCCCGTAACGGAGCCAGCACCACAAGAACAAAGCATCACCAGGCAGCAGGAAAGGAGAACGAGGATCGCGGCGAAGGGTTTTGTTTGAGAAGGAGAACGCGACACCGAGTACGACTACGGCTATTGTACGCTGCCGAGGGGGAACAACGGTTGAGGTACAACGAACGTGTTTCAGAAACTACGAGCCTTCGCACGCCGATGAGGACGGACAGAAGGAGGTAGGAACGCCGCCCACACAAGGAACAACTCATGAACAGCCGGTCGTGTCCGGATCTCAACCATCATGCGAAAGAAAGACGGTAGCTCGAGAGCGGGTCGTCATGGGGTGGATTTTTATCAACATGACTCTGTCTTCTCTCTTCCCCGTCCCAATTGATGGCTCGAAGAAAAATAATGATTTACCTCGTAGTTGTGAAACTCGAGCACTGCCCCACCGGTTGGCTGATACGCCACCGACGCGCCGCTTCTACCACCGTCACCACCACCACCGATCTCGGCCCCCGCCCCCTCCCCCGCCGCCGCCGCCGCCGCCGCTGCCCCGTTCCCGCCCGCGCGCCCCGTCTCGTTCCCTCCGCCAACTTCGCCTCCGACACCATTAAGTTCGGCGGGGGGCGGCTTCTCGGTGGCAAACGCCTTCGGCCCCGCTGTGGGGTGCTCCGCCGAAGTTGACATTGAGGCGGGAGTTGGAGAGGGTGACGACACCAGTTGAGCTCGGAAGGCCTTCTCCAACCGCCGACACTATTGGTAGTTCAAAGACCAAATTGACGAGAAGGGCGTGGGAGCGGGGGAGGGGCATTCGATCGCGGAAATTTTGAGCTCCACCCGTTGTCGATACCGTTTTCTGTGTGATTACGGTCGGGCGAGGGCAACGAAATGTTGCGAGCGCCATCTTCATCTGGGGATACTTCCAACGAACGCTATGGCTGCGCGACACGTCGCGTGTGCGCTGATAGGGGTACTACCCGGTTCATACCAGCGGGTGACGAGTACCCGCAAATTCCGGAGGTCCTATCCGTACCCGTCGCCGGGAAACCCGGATATGGTGAATACGGAACCGCGAAGCATGGGCAACCCAAGTTCCCGTGCACCCGCGCGTACTCGTGTGGACTACGGAGATTTTGAGGGTGCTCAGCGGCATCATAGAGTGCGTCAAGGAAAGGGTTTCGCAGCGGTATGCTGAGAGAAGTGCAACCGTGAAAATTCCCGGGCATCCCATGCTGAGGCAAGGATCAAGCGTTGTTTTAAGGTCATTGAGTGAACGTCGTTGGGAGTTTCTTCTGGTCATCATTTTCGCCCAAACGAGAGCAGGCGTTGCCTCGTGTTGTGGCCTGCTATTGTTTAGCATTGATACCCCAATGGCAGGCGGTGTGAATGCAATTAGCTAACTTTTGCAGCCCGAAAAGCAGTTCGTACATGTTTTTTACAACTTGAAACAACACAAGCATCGTTTCATTGGGGCGCGTGTTGCCGACAAGTCCTAAAGTGAAAATACCGTGCGTTACCCCAACTTCTGTCCCTGCATTCCATCTCCTTTGTTTAAAAACACTAGGATCCTTGTGCCCACCGTCCAGTACCTCCTCTTCCCCGTGTTCTTCAAGCAAAGGAACAAATTCCAACCACAAGTGTACTCAAAAATGACTGTATACGCGCCTGTCCTTCAAGACGAAGATAAAAAAAAAAAACACCTTTTGCGGCATCCTGAAGCCACGATACGTCGTTGTCGTCGTCGTCACAGGAAAATTTATCCTGCTTGTGGGGTGCAAGTGCCACACACACAGCCGTGACCAACCCCAAGTACAGCGAAGGAGCCACAAACTACTGGTCCTCATGCAACAGCAACACAATACCCCGTACAAAAGGCCCGACTTCTGAAACACTGCTGCCACAGCTACTGCGGGTTTCCCCCTCCGATATGAGACCGCCATTCCGTTTACACAAAAAAATCAAAACAAAACACAGAACCAGCGGGTCAACCCGCCCTCAGCTGCAGACCAGGCCTCGTGACCCCAAGCGCGTGTCCACCGTGGTAACAAACACGCCCCAGCGTTATCATCGTGGACGCAGGGAAGAAAAAACTGAGAAGGGTCAGCAGTATTTGTCGAGGAGCCCGCAGGCAACCGCACCGCGAATGGTCAGCCGCGGCGCCACCCTGCTCCCCCTGAGCCGCGCGCGCTTCGAGTTGTCAACGAGCCCCGTCTTGGAGAAGACCCGCTTCGACGACGCAGAACACGCCGGCACGCAAAGGACGCGCATCACCAGCTCCCGAAGAAAAGGGAACGACCAGCGTTGTTGCTCTTGCTCCCACCACAGCAAAGGGTCGGCCTCGCTGTCGATCTTGTCGAGGGCGCGGTACCTCAGCACCTCCCACCGGATCTGAGCCAGGTACTGATCCTTGCGCTTGGACCGTTCCGTAGGAGGCAGAGGCAGGGAGTCGCCCTTGCTGCTCCGTGTCTCAACCTCGGCATCCTCCTACGAGGGCACGGCGGACAGAGTTTTTTTTTCGTGGCGAACGAATTTGGGGTCAAAAGACGGCGCCAAGCTCGGGCTGTGGGGGGTTGTTGGAAAAAAAACATAAAACGGCCGGATGCAATTTTTTTTTTGTAAATACCTCTCGATTTACCTCGTCGTCCGAGTCGGAGTCGAACAGGCGAGCCATCACCGACTTCTTGTTCGCTTGCCCCGCGCCCTTGCCACCGGTGATGCCGCCGCTCTTGCCTCCACCCGCTTGGGCTGCACCGGTCTCCGTCGCTCCCACGCTCTCTCCCATCTCCTCCTCTTCCTCGTCCAGGTACGAGGCGATGTCGAACTCCTTTGCGAGTTTTTCCTCCATGAGCTGCTCCGCGAGGTCGGCGACGATTCCTTACGCGTAGTCCTTGACGTACCCGGGGATGCGGGCCATCCCCTTCGCTCTGGGGTCCAGGACCGCAGCGGCGTAGTGAATCTTCTTGCAGCCGGACGTGCCCAGCGTCTCGGCGGAAGGGTCGATGGTGTACCTTCACGTGACGTTTTTATTTTCGAAAACGGAGGTGTGCAGGTGGCCAAGGTGGATCGGAGGCGAGGACGAGCAAGGTTACGAAGAGACCAGCCGAACAAAGAAACCGACCAAAAATACAGTCACCGTGCATCGCTACAAAACAACTCGCAGACAAGAAACACTGACAAAACGATCACGCCCCGAGTGCGTACTACATGCACCGTCGAGAGTGAGCTGACCCCCACCCACCTTCGACCGAACTCGATGCTCATGTTCCGGGCCGCGGCGCGGATGGCGCCGTTCTCGTTCTTCAGCAGACCGTCGATCTGCTTCCGCCGCAAGGCCACCAACCCGAGCACGAGACCGATTGTCGGGTGCTTGTCGGCCTCCATGGTCCGGGTCGCTTCAGCGAACGGAACCGCAAGCACCGCCTCCATGAAGCCCCAGTCGAGCTTCTTGGCAGCGTCGGGAACAAGCGCCTCGTTCTTCATCAGGGCAAGTTCCATGGCCCGGCGGTTGAAAAGCAAGCTTTCGAGCATGGTCACGTCCAACCACCACCTGGCGCGCACACACCTCTGGAGAGGGTACGATTGTACCGGGAGCCAGTCGGCGCAAGCCTCCAATAACTTGGCGAACTGATGAACAAACCAGGTGCGCAAGGTACATGTATCGGGGAGGAGCGAGGCAGGGGAGAGAAGTTAGAGAGAGGTATTTTAGGATTTCAGGAGGAGATCTGAAGGATGAGTCACGTCAACGTCAACAAACCAAGTTCGTCGTGACGTACAACTGACCCTAAACCCCTCTTTGGACGAACACTTGAAGCGATCTTGACCAATATGGTGGCAGACATTATGGGCGGGCCAAGCGATCTACTTTCCCACTTGAAGGGGCTTCCTCGAAACGAGAAATTTTCTGAAAAATGGCACCATCCACCACGCGACACCAAGGGCGATGAGGGGTCAAGGTAAAATGACCCAGCAGTCGCTTCCCTTACACTTCAATAGCCTACATGGGATAGGTAAAATCGTTATCGGTATTCACCGGACGAACCAGGCTAAAAAGACGCACCGTACGCACCTTCGGAGACTCGTCGTACGCCTCGAAGAAGTCGTTGCATTGCTTCATGAGGTCTGGCACCGTGGGCGCCGAGGGTGTCGCCGCCCCGGCCGCGCCCGCCCTTCCTCCTTCTGCGGGCACGCCGGCTGCAGAAAAAGCGGTCGAGGCCGCTGCGGCCACGGTGGGGGCCGCCGTCGATGGATTCGCGGCGGCACCTGCGTCCGCGTTGTTGGCGCCCTTCACTTCGCTGCACCCTGGAAGCGGCGCACGACAAGCTGAAGAGAGTGGCAGAGGCAAGGGATCACCGCCGGCATGAACGCGTCCATGTCCGAGGCGTGCGTGTCCGTGACGATGCCGGTGCACTTGGTGGGGTCCAGGCCCTTCTCGTTGAGAATGGCCTTGAGCTTCGCGGCGATGTTCGCCCCCGTGTGGGGGGCCTCACGGAAGGGGGCGCATGCGAGGTCGATTGCTCGCATGGCTCGGCCGTCGTAGACGTGGACAACGAAGGAGATGTACTTGTTCTTTCGTGTGCCCGTCCAAACGTCGGCAGAGGCGCCGAAGTACTTGTTGGCCACTACCTTCCTCAACTCCTGGTTGGCTGCTGCCTGTGGAGGGCCCAGGCAGCGTACGAGCACGGGCAACAGCATCTGCTTCAGCGCAACAACAACCCAGAAATGACAGCAGGGTGAACTGGTTTTGGGACCTCGAGGTCAAGCACTCTGCATCACTGCCCGCCGTGCAGGCTTGCGGTGATAGCGCCGCGACAGGCAACGATGGCAACAGTCGGCGACTTCGATCGCACAACTCAATCGGCATATCATGGAACTGCTTACCTCCATGCTGTTGAGCTCCTCGTTGATCTGGTTGCGCGCAGCAGTCTTCACCCCAGACACCGAACCGATCATGTTCCGGAAACACGGGTTTAGCGTGGTCCCTAGCGGCTGCAAAAAGGCGACCATTCACAGCATCGTCGTGAGTATTGGACACGCCCACAACATGCCAAAAAAATACATAGTCGTTGGCCCATGAAACGACGCATTGGCTACGACAGATGATTGATGCTTTGTGCGTGTCACTGACGAAAAAAACACACAATAGGCACCCTGATAAACAAGCACGCAGCGTCAGAATAGCAGAGGTTGGTTAAAATAAGCCCACAAGACTCTCGCTAGGTGCACAAAATAGAGAACCACGCCGGCTGAAAACAGCACACATATGAGGACAAATCGTGTGTGTGCGCGGTGTATTTCTTCGTAGGGGGTGGTGGAGAACGATATTGATTTCGAAAACGACCGGACGAGCACCCAGCGGCCACACACGAGAGGCACAAAACCAAAACAAGCATGGAATGCAGTCTGCATACCTCCACACGTTCTCTCAAATCCCTAACTCTAAACTCAAGACAATACAGGCGACACGGCGGGTGCTCACACGCATTCGTTGTGCTTCAAAAGTGTGTTCATGTTAGATGCTAAATCCGTGAAGGATACCATGGAGCAGTGAAATGCGCGTGTGCTCGCCAAGATCTGTTACTGGGGCCATGTGGTCAAAAGCTGCAGCTCTGGTCCGAAAAGCCCGAAGATAGGTTTGCATCATTCGCGATCGCTGTACGTGCCATCACAGACCCAACCTCCTGGACTGCGGGTGTAGAGCAGTAGCTCACACGACTTAGCTGCCTTCGATAACCCGCATTCCAGGGGATTGGATTGTGAATAGCGGCCGTGTCGGGCCGCAGTTGCTTCTCGGATAGCTATTGGTCTAGACAAGAGGATGGTCCCTCAAACGTGTAGCAAGGGCAAGGGCGAGGGTTCGACATGCACATGATGTTCTTTTTCCGCCAGAGCAAAACTGGAAACTCGGCGATGCAGAAGCCACCATTCACTTGTTCGCAGCAGCAGCGCGTGGAACAGGGGGCAATTCCCCGGATATCACTGTCGTATGTGGGAGGGCTAAAAAGCCTGAGGCAAAACCTTTTGTCAGAAAGGCTAATCCATTCATTAGACTAGTGAGGTCAGCAGCAATGGATCATAACATAGTGGTCTAATCGGTGGATTACCTCTTTTCTAACCAGTAGTATAAGGAAGCCGTAGTCAATCTAAGTCAGACTAAAAGCTAAGAAGTAACTGAGGCAGTTGCGGCAGTGATCTCCAGGGTCGGACCCCTCGCCAAACGCTGGAAGTCACCCGATTCCGTCACCGTTGTCATCGTCCCCGTTGGCATAAACATCTTGACAGTAAGGTCTGAAAGGTTATCGTCGATGTTCACCACGGAGGATGACCCGTGAGCCACGTCACGCAAAACGGTCTGCAGAAACCGAACATGCAGGCCATTTCGCCTGACGTGGCTCAAGTGCCATCCTCTTCGACGGACATCGGCGATAACCTTTCAGGTTTTACTGTCAAGATGTTTATGCCACACGGGGACGACGACAATGGTGACGGAATCGGATGACTGAGTACAATCAAGGATTGACCTTTTTCTAACAAAAGACTTGACCGCGGGTTCGATTCCCAGTTTCGGCACTTTGGAGGCTCCCCTCAGACATTCCAGCGTTTGGCGAGGATTCCAGCCCTGGAGATATCTGTCGTAACTGGGAGGGCAAAAGAGCCTAAGGCACATATTTTTTATAGATCATGGCTAATCCATGAGACTACTGAGTCAGCATCAGTTGTGTCGCCTGTTTAGGCTTGAATTTGACCGTTATATGTAAATGAGATACCGTGCTTGGAGGTGAACAAAATGATATGCTGGTAGAGACGAGTCCGAACCACCGTGCTGTTCAACAAGTAAGGGCGTTCTTGCGTAATACTTCCCAACTGGTCTTCCCGTGTGTCTTGTGTGTAGTTGCTGGGAGCTGCTTCGGCCATTTTCGAAATCAGTCAACATCAAAATCGGTGTTTCTCAGTCCCTAAAGAAAATACATCAACAAATTTCAAGGAAACAATACACAAATCGATGCTTGGTCTTTTCACGTTTGCAAAGGCATAAGATGCTCATCTCAAAACCAAAAGAGCGAAACGCACTACCAGTAAAATGTATTCTATACAGCAGTATAGTACAAACGAAAACAATCAACACACAAGTATCACATACTTCGTAATTAGCATCGACCGCTGTCCGACTAACCAACTTTAATGTGTGTGTATGTGAAACAAATCTGGGGGAAAAGGGAGGGTGAGACAGACAGAAAAAAGACAGCAAGAGTTGAGTGCGCGTGTGTGTGTGTGTGTAGTTCCCGATTGTATACACACTGCTGCAGTACACACCGTAATCAGCTACTCTGATACTAACTTGTACTTCTTCGACCCTGAAGATGGTAAGTTGGCGTTTTTAAATTTAATATTGTTGATGAACGAGACGACCAATAAAAAGCGTGGGAGAGAGAGAGAGAGAGAAAAGCACGTGCTTACCTTGTACGCCATAAGCATCCACTTCAGGGAGGTTCTTCGGTCTCGATGGTGATGTCCAGGATGGTCTGGCCGTTGTTGGCGTGCCGCGAGCGACAACTTCCGCGCGGTGTACACCGTTGATGTGCTTGGACATGGACGAAGTGCCGCCGCACCTCTTGATTCGGCCGACCTTGCAACCCTTCGGGCAGAGCTTGCACACGAACGCCGCGTTTATCGGGCAAACGTCGAAGTCCGTCCAGACCTTGCTCCTCTTCTTACCACCAGCGGCCTCGTCATCCATCCTCCCTCCGCCGCCTGAGGCCGCTCTCCGGAAGGCCTTTCATAGGGCGCGAAGCGGCAGCAGTAGCCGCGGCATGACTTGCTGGGGCCACTAGTTCAACCGCATCTTTGTCACCGCCAACACCATCTGACTGTCGGAGAATTGCGGGCGAATCACTGCTGTTCCCGGCGTCGGTACTGCTGTCCAACCCTTTGTCTCCCTGCGGCTGTGTCGGGGATGGATCTTGCCCTTGTTGCACCCGCTGTTTCTGGGCTTTTGTTTGTAACGAGCTTGATGAAGCTGTGCCGCCGGCAGAGGTAGGCCCTTGGGCACGGTCGCTGCTGGAAGACTTTCCCGAGCATTGACTCATGCTCGCACAGCAGCAGACACTCTGTTGCTGGTAGCGGTATGCTGTGATGAGGCTGTGAACCCGGACACCGGAATTTGGCGCCACTCCAACCAACGCGCTAACTTCGAAATTTTGGGGGAGTCCCCGTCATCGTGTTCAGCGGGAGGTGGGGGGGGCAATACCCGACTACCCGGGTACCCGACTACCCGGGTACCCGCGACATTCTGAAAAAAAAATTGGGTGTCCGAACACATTTTCTTTCGGGGGGGCGCGGGCTTTACTCCATTCCCCGGTACCCGCAGGTAAATGCGCAGCTTGGTAATTTGGCCCGATTTCCCTCGGGAACGGGTACTCGGGTATTACCCGCAGCCGAGTACCCGTCGGGTAGGGGGGATCCTACCTGTACCCGACCGACCTTCACCAGCATCCGGGAGTACCCGTCGGTAACGGGCATCTGCCCAACCTTGGGAAACACCTTAATAACCTCAACAGCGTGTTTCCTCGATCGATCATGCAACGAAATGCTTCTCCGGCGGTCGGGCCTTACCCGCGGGCTTGCAAACATGAACTCACACCCAAGAACAACTAGCCTAGAGACTTTCACAGAACCCTCGATTTGATAGGGTAAAGCAATTACGAGATATGATGGTTTGTCCAACTGAAACAACGAAACTCCACCAAGCTTAAGTCAGGGTCGGAATCAATAGCGGACTATATTAGGAAAGATTTAGAGAAGCGAAATGAAGGGCGCATTTTGTAAACGGCAGGACAGATAACCAACGATGTCGGTATCAACGCCCAGGTAGCCACGTGCTTTAAATGGTCATGTGGGGGTTGATGTACTGATGATGACATGGGCACGGATTTAGTTCAAGGAATTGTTCTTGGTTTTGGATCTTCTCTTGAGGGGAAGATGTTGATGGTCCGATACATGCACAATGAAATGAACGGTGGATCCAAGGACATAACAAACTGTCCGACTATGCATATGCATACATACACCCATCAACAAAGGGATCGCAGCAGTGGCCAGGGTCCTTGCTATATTGTGGTTCTACAAAAGAACATCTCACATATGACGTCATCCAACAATTCCTCATTTCCCACCATGTGGACGGTGAAAATACAGCACCTTGATCAACGACCCTTGTGTGTTCGGTTAAACAAGCATTTAACTAGACCCATCGCCTCCAATGTGTATCGGAACAGCCGACAATCGTATCCAGTCGTTGTGCGATCTAATTCGTCATCTCCTATAGGATTTGACGCAAACTGGGAACAGCTTTAAGCGAGAACACTCAAGGCTAAGACTTTCTCGCCCTTTATCTGTACCCAAAGATCTCACCCACGTGTGCCAGCATCTGCCTGTCTCAGTGTTGTACCAGGTGAGTACCCGCACAACCTACATACATGAACCTGCCAACTGCTTGTTGCTGCTACTGCCATTCTGCCATTCACCGAGACTGCGACACACCACCGCAAACATCTCGCCCATCAAAGATTCAACATAAACAGGGAAGGTCAAAACACTTTTCACCACCCACAAACGTGAGATTCGTCTTAACCACCGCAACAACAACAACTCCCGAAAGATTATCCACGACGGAAAGATGGCAAGACTGTCGTTGTGTCGCTCTCGCCACGTCGCTTCACAGCACGGCTTTACCAACGTATTCCACACACAACGGGACAGCCAACCAGCGAGCAAAATGATGTTCTCCTCGTATGATGACCAACAGCAGTAGCGCGACGACCAGCAGCAGCAGTAGCAGCAGCAGCAGCAGCAGCAGCAGTAGCAGCAGCAGCAGCAGCAGCAGCAGCCACCAGTGCCGCGAGATATCAACCGCAGCATGTGGCGCCGTTCTCGAGTGGTTTCGCCCTCCTCCCGCCGAGGTGTGTCCCAGGTTGGTCCCCAACCCGCGCGCGGCTCAGGCGACTCACTGGCTGCAGCCCCATCTCCACGCAAACCTAACCCAGCGCAACTCTCATCCACAGGCTATTCCTTGTTGTGCCGCTCACTCAACTTGACCTCTAGGTCATGCCTAGGGCAACTTGACCTCTAGGTCATGCCAAGGGAAAATCGGTTTAGACACACCACTTTTGCACTGGACGCCGAGAGTCCCGTGGATCTTTCCGTACTAACTCACGGTTCGGGTGCAAAGTCTGGGTGTGAAAATACGGTTTTAAGATCGGGCCTGAGTCGCGTGTAGACACGAAAAGCAAAACGCCGACGGCAGGCTGATGCCTTCCAATCTGCTCCGCCTCGCCCCTTCACCACATCACGAACCGATCAAGGGACAGCAAAATATGAAAACCTGTGCCGATCAGACTACGCAAAAGACAAGCTTCTAGACTAATCATCCGTACCCTAACGCTTCACTCACCTCCCTGGCTGAGAACGCTTCCCACGGGCCCCCTCCGTCCCCTTCTCCGGCCGGAAGGGATGTCCACGCGCCCCCAGATCTCCGAAACCACCCCACACGGCTCTCGGAAACATCCCCCGTGACCACTCCCTCCAGGTAGTAGCGGCAGGGGAGGGAGGAAGAAGCGCGCTTGTCACCATCTCTCTTGCTGTCGCCGTTGTCCTCGGGTGTAACCCTGCTGCTTTTGCAACTTGTGGTAGTCGCGTTCTGTCTTCTCCAAACGGCGTCCGCATCCAGCCAGGCATCGCCGGCAAACGGGGAGGGGGGGGGCGAAGGGGAAGATGCAGTGGCGGTGGTCGCGGGAAGGTCGCCAGCACTGGTCGGGTTGGCAGCAGAAGCGGTGGACTCCGACGATCTGGTGCCTTGCGCATCTTCATCCCCTGCTGATGCCAGCATCACAACTATGAAGGCATATTAAAGAGAGGGGGCAAGGGGGAAGAGGGAGAGAGGGAGAGAAGGGGGGACGGGGAACGAGTCGCCGGCTTGTCCACTCGAACAGTTTTCGGTAAGGGAGGTGTTTTTCACCCCAGATGGTGTTTCTTGCGTTCCCGATCTTGAGAACGACAAACCTGGCACTACTGCTGTCCGGCAAACCACCCCCGCAAACCGGCAAACACACCAGGTAAAACACGGGGAAATGGTGGGGGGGGGGGGGGGGGGGTGTATTCATATTCGTGCATGCGGTAGTCGTTTGCCCATTGCCCTCGCATCCCTACAAAGCCGGGACGGAGCACCCCGGGTTCTCCCCGGCCCAGGTTCTCACATCCCCAAGCGGGAAGCCCCGTGAGGTATTTGGCGAGTCGCGGGTGAGCTGCATCCTGCTAAGGGTGTTCGGCATCTTGTGCTTACTTCCTTGCGTACGGATGACAGCTACGTATGACTTAATTTATTTTCTGGTGCTTTCACTTCCAGAGACAGTTGTAAGCACTGTGTAACTGCCTCGAGGAAGCTTGACCATTTTAACACAACGTGGTGCGATCATCCCCCGTTGCGCGGGGGGGGGGGGGCTTACTCAATCTTACAGAGGTCACGGAAAGAGGGGAGGGGGGGACGAAAAAGGATTCAAGCGTTCTTATATGCTCGCCTCCTCGAATGGTGTTTGCTCTCGCCCGGAGCAGCCCCGTTTGGACCAGGTCGTCGTGGAGGGCCGCGTTGTGCCAGCGGATGTGCGCCAGAAACTCGTAGCGCTGTATGGGATGCTCCAGCGACAGGTACTTCTCGCACGCCCTGAAGAGGAGAACGGGAATGATTAGGAAACAGGCCGAAAAACGGGGAACAAGGAAAATAACGATTTCACAGGAATTTCAATTCCAAGAGATGCGGGGCTGTCGGCGCTCTCCAGCTCAATTCGAGGCTCAACGGCCACTTGATCCACAAGAAATACCACAGCCTGAGGAAATGAGCACGGCGCGCTCGAAGTCGGCTTTTCTCCCCCCACTCTGTCTATCCCGATAAATCAGCAACACAACATCTACAGGTCAGAGGTCCAAACAAGAACAATACAGGCAACCACAACAACGTTAAGGCCAACCGTACCTGTCCACCACCTCCTCTCTTCGCTCTAGGGGCAGGTCGGCGTAGGGGCCGTACCCGAGGATACCCCACTGTGCTCGAGTCATGGTGCGCGTCATCTGCTGGTCGATCAGGTCCATGTAGAAGTACAGCTCACGGAAGGCCACGCGGAGACCCCGCTTCCCCACGTCCATAGACACCTGTCGCGGAGGGGGGGCGCCGTGCCAACAGAGAGAGAGAGAATTTTGGAGCCGGGAAGGGAGGAGGGACTCACGCTGCCTTCCCCTTTACCCCAAGGCAGAAGACCGCACGCCACTTCCGTCGAACTCGACCGTGCCGCATGTATAACCAATACGCATCTCTTACCTCGTGGACCTCGACTCTCGCGAAGAGGCAAGAGGCGCGTGGGCGACCGACCGCGGGGATGTTGAACAACAACATGCGGCGTACCACACTTCCGTGGAATGATACATGTACCACATACCACACCACGGGTTCATGGTGATAACACCTCCAGGGGGCGCTGGGTGACTTTCTTACGCGTCCAAACGTGCCTCGGCCACCCGGTGCCCCATTCTCCACTTTCATGTGAAAAACAGCGCCCATGTGTTCCGCCGTTAACGGGGGGTCCAAACGGAGTGTTTGCTCCAGACAGTAGGCGCCACTACCGCAAGCACCTTGTAGGGCACGTGTGCACATGCTGCATTGAAGAGATCGAAGTACTCTGCGACGGCGTCAGCACCATAGAAGGCATCGGGCCATTCTTCACGGTGCCGGCACCACTCCCATCCCACCACTCTTGCATGTTGCCACGTACCTCCGCCACGTTGGCCACGCTCTCCGCCGAGGGAAGAGGCGCCTGCACTACCACGAGGAAGAACCGCGTCACCCCCTCCGCGGCCTCCACCGACGGCAGGAAAACCGCCCTGCCCACCAGGGGGAGGTTGCTCCCGTGCTCCTTGAGGTGCTGGTACGCCTGCCCGAGCCGGGGGGATAGCAGAAATTCCACCGACCTCTCGACGCCCCTGAATCGCGGAACAACATCAATTGCAGCAAACACCCACAGACCCGTAGACGCAGAGATCGCCGACACAGACGAGACTGACGCCGTTAGGGGGGCTAACCGTAGATGTACGCACAAACCAATGCACGCGGGACAACTACGAAGAAGGCCACCAGATGTCGATCCGACGCCTATCACGGCAGCCTCAGAGTTTCTGGGTAAAAAAAAAAGGCAGCACATACCCCACGAAGAGACCAGGATGGACAAAGAGCAAAGTCCCACAGGAGGTGTTCTGAGAAGACATCACTCACCTCCACTCCCCGGAACACAAGTGCGAAATCCATACCCCTGAAATCACTAGAAGATGCTAAACTAGTGATGGGGCGGGTGGTTCGAAACTCCATCCCCTGATGCCCCACGCCAGTTCTAGGCGTAGTAAAACATGTAAAGGCTGAATACGCAACGTAGGTGACACCCCGGAGAGCTCGCTCGCCTGAAGGAAGGGATGAGGACGTGGTCTCTCACGGGCTTAAGCGGGCCCGGCAACTCTACGGTCGTGGACTGATCGCGCGCAAACTTGTACACCTGCAGACAACAGCGGAGGAGGGTATGGTGGGAGGAGGGAGGGGAGTGCATTGTGGAAGCACGGGTGACACACAGGGACGGGAGCGGGCGTTGGTTATCGGATTCCGAACCGCCTCTGAATACAATTGTCCGCTTCGAAATATAACAACAACAAACATCGCGGCAACAGCAGCAGCAGCAGCGCGTGCCTGAAGGGTCTTGTGAACAGTAGCCCCGGCTACCTCCCCTGCCTTGTCCTTGCTGGCCATGTACGCTCCCGCCAAGAAATCCCTCGCGAAAACTGCGTTGTCCGACACGATCTGCGGAAGACCAACACCCACGACAACCAAGGGGCAGGACACGTTATTTAGGGTGTTTCAGATGAGGCATGAGCAAGAGCGATTGTGTAACCTGGATATGGAGAACGGCCAAAGGGGGTTGTGCCATGCACTCTTTACGGTGAACACGAAATGGCGTTTGGATTATCTTCAATATTCAAAACTTGATTCCGGGAATGCCATGGTTTACATCCCTCGGGACAATGCACCCTCCTTGATGCCCATACACCTACTTCTTGCCGGAGTTCCAGGCTCCCCGCCTCGAGCAGGCCGCCAAGCCAACACGTTTGTTGGCGCCCCGCCTTTAACTCTCGCCCCCACCTTTTTCAATCGTCACTACTTGCTGCGTCGCTGAAACATGGCTTGGCGATTGTCGCACGTGGGGGTAGACTCAAAGTCGCTGTGCATGGGATGCGCTCTACGCACACACGTTGTTGTGTGTGTGGGGGGGTCGACCGTACTACGTACTTCGAAGTAATCCATGTGGGTCGAAACGGCTAGTCCCGCGGCTGCGCCGTGTCGGGACTGCCTCCCCCCTAGCCTCGCGTCTGCCAGAGGCAGTATTGGAAATTGCCAACCATTCCCCAGTGCCCACATGTGCCGGGAAACTACAGGGCATATAAAGCAGTACCAGCAGTGATTCCGTCGTGCTCTGGCCGTTGCCGGGTTTGAATATGTTAGAAGGTAGGTGTTGGCAAGCTGCGTGTGAGTCTACATCTACTCACCACTCCCTACCGGTGAAGAGGGTGAGGCAAACCAACCACGGGAACCACAGTATCGAAGTTGGAGAGGATACGCGAAACTGCCACCAGTGGCATGCAGCAGGTATGAGGATGAAACAACCTTTAATCAAGAAACTTGAGGGACAATGGCCGGGAACTGGGAAACTCTACTTCGTACTGAATACCAGCTTTTGTTTCGGCGCTTCCTATGCTGAACCGAAGCGGTCAGTAAACTGGCCGCACCGCAGTGGGGAACCGAACCAGACAGGGCACCAAAGTACCAAAGCCCTTACACGTGGTGTTTCCCGGACGCAGTTCCGCTCGACCAGGGTCAGACGGCAAACATGCACATTCATAAGTATCTACTCTAGTACAGCCAAGGCTGTCGTCAACGCATGATATTGGTACGGTGTACATAGGCTGCCTATAACAGAGTAGAGACTTTGTAGACGCCGTTGTCGGAGGTCGGGCAACCGACGTTTCCCACGAGCCAAACGACGGATTGCGTTCCTCGACAAAATACTTGCCTTGTTGCTATCCCAAAATTTCCGCTGGAGCGTGGCTAGTATCCTGCCTGGGACATGCATCACCCCTCCGCTATCCCGGTGCTGCCCTCGTTGCTGTGGCCGCGCCCTTGCCGCATGATGATGAAGGGAGGCTTCTACCAGGCGGCGGGGGGCAGGAACAGCAGTCCTGCTGCTGCTGATGCTGTCACGATCACCACCACCATAAACAGCAAGCACAGCAGGACTGCCCCCCTTTGGTTCGCCTGGAGAGGCCATCCCTTGCTTCCTCGTCGTAGCGCTCTGGCAGCGTGCAACAACGTTTCGACAGATCGTCCCAGCAGTTCAACCGAAGATTGTTCCGCCTCTCACACACGATGTTTTCAAATGAACCGCATGTGGATACTCTTGTCAATTTACCAGGTGACGCCACGCGGCAAGCGAGAAGCTTGGTACACGAACACGCAATACAACACGCGCGTAAAACGGCAGGGAGAGAGAGAATGCAACGCAATGCCGTGCACCGCGGTGAAGACAGAGATCTGCTCTCTGTGCTGCCACGCCGGGGGGGATGGAACATTCGCCGGTGCCCCTGTGTCGACCACCCCCTCCACCCCCTCACAGACCCTTCCCACAGACCAGAGCAGTGCACTGCAACAGGCACGAGACACACCCACCGAGCACACGGCAGCGAGGGAGCGCCTACACTGCCAAGGTGTTCCGGTGATACGAGCGTTGCCTTCTTTCAGAGGTGAGATCTGATTTATTGTCCGTGAAGCTTGGACAATTGCACCGCGCGGAAAATCCGGAACGGTCCTGCACGCACATTGAACAGTCCCGCCAATCTTATTTTGCCCCCACGGGCTGACTACAGCGCGCATGCACAGCAGAGTTTTTGGAGCTTTGGTCCGATCCCTGTTCAAGCCCAGCGCCTCGCCCTTTGCCGCGCCCCTGCAGCCTCTCGGTAGTTAGCTGAGCTGCATCTCGCATATTGAAGTTCAGCGAGTGAGGACACTTTTGACACCGAATTCTCTCGCAGATTGTGCCATATTTTTGTCTCACGGCGTTCTGTAGCACGTGCAGTGCAGAACACGGGAGAAGGGTGAGAGACGCTAGGCTACGTTGTCCTTGTGTCATGTCAACACCATGACTTGAGTCGACGCTGATTTGCGCTGCACGTTTTTTCTGTCCATGGCGAGCGAAGGAGCTCGTATTTCGAACCTTGGCATTCTTTGAAGGTCCGCGACGCCCGTCACTTTTGCGTGAATCTGCCCGACACGCCCATCAAGAGCAACACTCGCATGCTTCGACCGCCGTGACATGCCCAAAATTGCAGCTCTGGAGCACGCCGATCGCCCCGCGACCCCATGCTAGCAAAGCTGGTTCGGACATTCAAGCCGTCACAGATTTCCTAGACACACCTCCTCCTATAGTCGAGTTCCCCCCCGGTAAGATACAAGCGGCGGTTCCTTAGTCCCCGCCGTGCCTGCACCCCCCCCCAACCGCCCCCTTCCCGCCCTTCCGTTGGCTTCACAAGCGCCCCGTACACCAGACCCGAACACCTCAGAGTGCTCACGTGCGGAAGAGGTAAAGTGCATTCGTCTCTCAAACGGACGGGTGCCGTTTCTGCAGGCGTCCCGCTCCCTCCCGTCAGTCACACCGCTCTCCTTCTCAAACAAATGTTCCTCCGCACCCCCGCCCCCCCCTCCTCCTGCCTGCCCCTCAGCCCAGCAGAGAAGAGCCCCCCTCAGAGAAACATGCCGCCTCGACGGATGCGCACCGCGGACGTCTCGCTGTTCGAGGCGATCCGCTCCTACACGGACGTTTCCGCCTCGTCCTTCCTGGTGTGCGTGGCCTGCCTAATCGGCGTCGCGGACGTGGGCTGCGCCGTGGCCCTCTACGGGGTGGTCCATTCGTGGGCTCCCCGGTCGTGGGGCCCGCTGGTCATGCTGCAGCACGTGTGGGGAGATCAGGTTTGTTTTTTGACAGTCACATTTTTTTAGCGTGTTTGTGACCGCAGGTCGAAGCCCCTCGTTGTCGGTGCGTTGGGGTTTTCAGTCCTTGCGGCTCTCCCCCGAGAACGAGGCGTGCATCCACGTGTATCTTTTCGTGTTTTGGTGTCTGCGAATATTGTTTTTACCTCTGTCCCTGCCGTTCGACAATCGAAGTACGATACAACCTGCTTTGCTTTTGGTTTCCGTGAATGCTTGAGCATCGCGCAGCGGCAGGAGCGGATACTTGGCGCTCCGGCGCTCTGTTTTTTTAGAACTCTGCTTCGGGTCTAGGGAGTGTGCTTCACCATCTTGTTTCGTCGCGGCGACGACCGCTAAGCTTCAGGACACACGTCTCCTCGTCTTCCACAAGGACGCACCCCCTTGCCTGCGCACCTTCACCCCCCCCTTCCCTCTCAGCAAAACGTACCCAAAACCCGCGTTTTTTTCTTTTCCGCCCGCTCCCGTTGCATCCCCCACCACCATCCCGTCCCCGATCGCCAAACGCCCCCCAGAACTTCTCCAAGGACACCGCCGACATTCTGCTGCTTGTGGTCGCGCGGCTGTCGGTGCTGCCGCTGATCGCATTTTTGGCGGCCACGAAAGGAAAACCGCCAAACACGGCTCCCGCGTCGACGGCGAGCGGTGCCGGCAACGCCTCTGATGGCAACTCCTCCCGTGCCGGACGGGGGCGGACGAACCAAGTGGTCGGGAAGAAGAAATCTCTCTGGCGCCGCGTCTGCGGCTGCTTTGGCTACGGGTAAGTTGTAGTTTTTTTTGTTGTCGGGGGGGACAGGGAACATTGCACCAGGAGACAGTCGAGATGGGCCGAGATCGCTGGTCAACCGGCTCCCTACACGATGTGCTTCTTTTTTCATGTCCTCCCTGCCTACTCTGCCTTGTTGGGTACCTTGATCTCCCTTTTGCTGTTGCTTTTGCTTTTATATATCTGGCTGTCTGCCCATCTGCCGCCTCTTTGTTCTGTTGCCTCCATTACTCTCATGCCCTGGTGCGTAGTGTCTGGTGCTGGTACGTCACCCTTTGATATTTTAGGCGGGGGTGTAGGAAGCGTCCTCCTTTTTATTTTTTTCTTTATTTTGTTTTGTTTTATTTTGATCGGTATCCGAGGGCTCTTTTCTCGACCGGTCGGTGCGGTAGCTGTTCTTTCTATCATTTTGTTTTCTTTATCCGAGTGGTTTGTACCTATTTTTGTTTTGTTTCCCCGCGGCGTCGTCGTATGTGCCGGGTTTTTGCGACCAGGGGCTCCCCATTTTTGTGGACTATAGAGCTAATGTGAGAAACAACAAAAACAAAACAACAAACGATTCACATTGTCGCCCATCTGAAGCCTCGTTACAAGCCCGCGGCGGGCCCACAGTACCCAGTGGCGAGCTTTTTGTTGCAAAAGAGGGCTCGCAGCCCTTACTTAGTAGGGTGCCATGCCACTTTTACGTTTAGCATCCAATGGACGGTGCGACGGAAGTGAAACAAAACCTGCAGCAGTACCCCCCCTCCCCGCCTCAACTAAGTTTTTTTTCCCCTGGGTTCTAAGCGCGCGTATCCGTGTGTAGCCTTGAGCGAAGCGTTCAAAGGCAAGTTTCTCCTTCGGCGGATTGCGGATGATTCCTCTCCACCCGTCTCCCCCCTCCGATACCCTCCCGCCCACGTCAGCGAGTCAGCCACAAGTGCAGGAAGAGGAGGCACAAGCGGCCGGCGTCAAGCCCCGTCGTCGGACCTCAACTCTTTGGAGGGAGGAGAGTCCTTGCACCAGCCGCTGTTGTCGAGCACCCATGGCCGGGGCGCGGGCAGGAGCGACGAAGTAAACAGCAGCGGTTACGAAAACGGTGGCGGGTTGTCCATCAACGGAGGCGCGTCGGAGGAAAAATCTGTCGCGGCCGGGGAGGGGGACAAGGTGACGAAGACGGAGATCGAGACAGACGGGGCGCGGAGGGAGCGAGAGAAGGAGGAGGCGGAGCGGGCGGCGGCCGAGGCGGCCGAGGCGGCCGAGGCGCTCGCCGAGAGGAAGAAGAGCGCGTTTCTCGTCGTCATGTTTGCCTTGAGCACGGCCATGCAGGTGGGTCGTTCGGTCATGGGGGATCGTTATTGCAGGAAAACGGCGAGTGTGTGGCGGTGTACCTCTTGCTTGTGGACGCGTGTCTGCCGGCGTCGGCCTCGGATCCGTGGGCCGTTCCCGTGGGTTGGATGGAGGTCGCTCCCAAAGAAAAATTGGGTGATCTTTGGTTTCGGTTTAAACAAAAGCTCCGACCGCATTCGCTCAGATTTTTCTTGTATCTGTTTAAAAAATTCACATGCATCCCCCCCCCCCCGGCTCGCCCCCCCGCCCTCTGTTGTCCCACGCCCAGGTGTACACTGGCGTGAAATGCGTGAGGTTTCGCTTCACGAAGGAGGTTCCAGAGGGGGTTCTCATGGGGATCGGCGTTCTGTGGCTGAACGCGATGGTGTGGGCCCTCAACCAGCTCGTCGCCGACGCGACGATGGAGGAGGGTCTTCTGGAGCCCTCTCTTCACCCCCACAGGTGATGAAGCCAACACCTACATCTACACGCTTCTTCGTTATTTTTCTGAATGTACCACAATAAAATCCACATCTACTCTTAGATAAGGGCCTAGGATAAATTCGCAGTGAATTCATAAATAGCGTCAGCGGAGCTACCTGGGTTTCTACGATTCCCCAAGCAGCATATAGCATTGCGCTTCGGAAGCACGGGTTGGTTTGGCTAGGTTTAGAGCCCAAGGTGTCGGTTCGATCGCTTGGCGTCAATTGTATAAAGAAGTTCCGTTCCTACGGCAGTTGGGCGACAATGCATCGGGGACAACAGTCGCCATGGAGGACGTAAATGGCGGAAGAACGGTGTTCCCCAGACGTTTTTGTCCCGATCACCCCCACAGTCGCCAATCGAGCGGAGCTGTATTGGCCTTTTCGAGATGGTGCAACTTGTTGCGCACGCAAACACGCGCCCTCCTGGGCTGGGCGGAGTGCCTCGTGTTCGAGGCTTGTTAATTTTCGGCCAGCCGTGCGCCCCCTCGTACATACAGCCTGCTCCAGTCACCATGCTCTCTCTTTCCTTCACCCGCGCAGACACCTTTGTCGCCCCTGTTGTCGATGGGACCGCGGCACGGAGACAGCGCCCAGGCTATGGTGATTCACCCCGAGCTACGCTTAGGTTGAGAAGGATACCCCCCCCCTCCCCGCGCCCCCTTCCGTCGGCGACAGTTTCTTTCCCTTCGTTTATATTGTTCCTCTTTCGCTCCGTCACACCCGCTAATTTCACCTCGAATCATCATCCACGGATCATGTAACATGACGGCGATTTTTCGTAGATTGTTCCCGGGGTCGATGGCCGGACATCGGTGCGACATATGTCAGCAGAGAATCAAGAGTCAAGACGCCAAGGGGTGGAGGTGCAAGCTCTGCGATTTCGATCTCTGCCGTTCCTGCTACGAGAAAAAGGTGCGCGCAATCTGACGAAGCTTATTTTAGTGTGTTTTTCGTTGTACTGTGAGGTTTTTGGCATGAAGCAGGGTTAAAAAGGTTGTTAGTACAACCACGCCTCTGCTCAAAGCACCCTCTGAATCATCTACACGCACTTAAACAAAAAAAAAAATCGGGAGAATATGCCGTCAAGTTTCTTCCATACATGTAGAGCAATGCACTCCAGCTCAACAGGCATGTTGTACTGAGGTATATTCCCATGGAGGAAGATATTTTGTCAATACATGAAAAAAAAGGGTTCTTCCTGGCATTGCTGTCTCTGGCCGAGAAGACTGTTGTTGGAAAACCTCCATAAACGTTTCGATGCCATTGACATCACCCAATGTTCGGTGTTAAGGGGGGGGTGTACTCATAGTCGTGCATGCCGTAGTCGTTAGACCACTGACCTCGCATCCCTACAAAGCTGGGACGGAGCATGCCGGGTTCTCACCGGACCAGGCTCTCACATCACCAAGCGCGAAGCGCCGTGAGGTATTCGGCGAGTCTCATGAAGGGTGCGCTGCATCCTGCTAAGGGTGTTCGGTATCTTGCGCTTACCTCCTTGCGTGCGGATGACAGCTGCGTATGACTTAATTTATTTTCTGGTGCTTTTACTTCCAGAGACAGCTGTAAGCACTGTGTAACAACCTGGTTGCCGAGCTCACGAAGTGATCGGCTTGTTTTACAACGTCGTTGCCAAGCGACGAAAACCCAACTCCGATGGCAAACACCGGGAGGGGGGGGCAATGTTCGGTGTTAAAAAGGGGGGGCAAAATAGGGGGTTTTGGCGCTGGCTCTTTTTCTTATACTTTAACCAAACATAAAGAAAATAACCTTCCCCCCTGAGGAACCTGGTAATTAGTACTAATAGAGGACACGATCAAGAGGCGTCGTGCGTGTTGGCACGTTCAGGTTTGCTACTGGAGCTGAAATATCGAAGGTCGCAGCAGCCTCTGAAAACAGTCCGAGATCTGCGCCGGAACCAAGCGGCATCCAACATTTGTCACAGCCGTGCTCACCGCCACGGACCGTAAACCCCAGAACGGAGGGTTGTCAGCAGTAGCTAGTGGCATCAGCTACTGCTGTAAACGCGCAGTTCAGGAGATTGGGGTCGGTGGCGTCGAGCACAAGCAGTAGAAGACACTGGGTGTCGGTCTAATTTGCGGAGATTTGCGGAGATTGTAGGCCGCTACTACGGTATCGAGGGATATCACCACCACAGAAGGAGATTTGAACGCGCCAACACGCGCCCCCCATTGCTATAGGATGTCCTCTAGTGATATAAGTACCATGCACCAGGTTCCTGGCGACACAGAGCTTATTTGAGTGCCTGGCTATTTTGACCTGAATTTAGAATGGTGTGAATTTTTATCTTGATTTCAAAGGAGGCGTGTGGAGGTAGACGCGTGAAATGTATATTTTGAGAAGCCTCTGCCGCCGCCCTGTGCGAGAATCAACGATTTCTGTTCTTCGCGATGCCTCCCGACTGGTCTTGTGTCTCTCGTGTGCCTTTCTGGTGCTCTTGGGTTTGTTTTCAAAACTTGTCAACATCAAAGTTCGTGTTCTGCCATCCCTTAAGCACTTCAACACGCTTACGTAAACTCAACGTACATCGGGTTTCACCCAGTCCTCGGAGATAAGAAATAATACCCTGTCATTTTCTTAACGTGTTGTACGTGCTGGTGTGTGTGGTATCTCAAAATGATATTGTTTTGTACAAGTGGGGTACGTGTTGGTCTACGTTCTCGTGCGTGATGTATGCTGTCCTCCAACCACCCAACGCCCCTCTGACCACACCCCGGGGGGGGTCATCGTCAACATCATCCTCCTCCTCCTCCCTTTCCTTAGGACCGCCGCGGTGCAGAAGGCGCGCTGAGGGGGGACAAGGGGTTGCGGGACGAGAAGAACCTGTCGACGCTGACCTACTTCAAGAGGGCGCTCCGCCTCGCCGGCCCGCACTGGCCCTTCTTCATGGTGGCATTCGCGTGCCTGGCCATCTCCAACACCGCCAGGATAGCGCTCCCGAACTTTCAGGGGGGCATCTTGGACAAGTGCGTATGGGATGGATGAGTGGTCGTTCGAGGTGCACCGTAGAATCCTTGGGGGGGGGGGGGGGGGGGACTCATGTAAACGCATCTCGTAGTAGAGTTATTTTAAACTCAAAAATGCGTAAATCCAGTGGAAGATCCCGAAAAGAGGATGAATCGGGTTTTATATCGGAGGGGACTTTTGGGCCAGAATGCATGAATCGTGAGCAAATTTATATTTGGGGCCCCAGAGCCCCAAGTATGTGTTTTGGTTCCGAGACGAACAGGCTCCTGTCTCCTTCCCTCTCTCCCCCTCCCGTGTCTCTCGTCTCTGATCCGCCTTGCTTCCCTCCTCTCTCGCAGCAAACATCACCGCCAGCCCCCAAAGCTTACGGGCACTGCCCTGACGATTTTTGTTGTGCTGCCTCCATATATACCGCTGCATGCTGCTGCTGCTGCTACTGGTTGCTGCTGCGACTGCTGCTGCACACTTTTGTCTTTCCCCCTACCCTCTCGCTCTCTCCGTTTCCCTCTCTCTCCGGTGCCGTCGAGGACAAGCGCGGACGAACGAACAGTAAACAGTGCTACAAGGCTGGCTGGGTAGTTTGTGGGCTGTCCCGTTATCTGTGGGGGATCAAGGGCAGTCCTTTCGAGTCGAGACGTCGGGAGGCTGTAGGTTGTTGTTGCTGGCGTTGGATGCTGCGTGTGTTGCACACACACACACACACACTCATCTCCTCTCTTTGTCAAAAGAAGGACACCCAGACAACGTTTTTTTCATCATCATCTGCCTGCCTGCCTGAGTGGCGACCGCGACGCACCATGGCGCCAACATTGAATGTCAAGCTCGCGTGGGTCAGGCGTGGTCTTGGTAGAGCGCGCCTTGCCTGCTATTCGTTCACTACGTAAGCGTATGTCTGCATGTCATCACAACACCATCATCAAAGAGACCCTCAGTTATTGGCTTGTTTCGCTATATAATTTGGCTGGACAACCACCGCAGCCCCCCCCGCCCAACACCAGCTGGCCTGTCTTGTATTGGCACAGGCCAACAGATGTGTTTTTATCCTGTGAAGATCTGCTTCTGAGTTTTATATGAGGGGGGTGCTGGACCCAAAAATGCATGAAGTGCCGAAACGCCCAAAAACGTCCACCCGGTCCATGAGTCGAGTTTTAAATACCTCTATTTAGTCGTTAGACCATAGAGCTCGCAGGCTGGGGCGGAGCGATATGCCGTGTTTCGCTGGCCCAGGCTGCGCTTGACAAGGGTGAACCAGAAGCTGGTCATTATCCTTGCGTGTGCTGTGCCAAACCTTGAGGGCGGGGGGCGTAAGTGAGCCTACTGTGTCGTAGCTTGTTGTTGTCCTTTGATTGATGAATCTGCGTTGTTGTAGCGCTGTTCTCTCCGAGCGAGAAACGTTTTGGTCGTGTCACACCGCGGTCATTCCACCTCTTTTGCGTCTGTCTGTCTGTCTTTCCCTCACACCCTATCTCTCTCACATACTTACACACCGCAAGAGGCAGGAGTTCAGCCCTCTCCCGTCCTCGGGGGTTTCTTGTGTGTAGCTAGCTGCTGCAGGTGTTGCCCAGGCGTGTTTCTTGAACGGCCTTGCGTTGCTCGTCACATCGCAAGCATCCACTGTGGCCTGCTGCTGTGACAGTGATGCTGAAGGTACATTTTCAAAACATCTTTGCCAAACCATCCGAACGCAGGGTCGTGAACGGAGATGAGGAGGGTTTCAAGCGCTACATCGTGCTCTACATCATCCTGTCGGCCGTCACGGGCACTATTGGAAGCGTTCAACGCTTGTGCTTTCGCCTGGCCGGCGTCCGGATAGCCATCGGTGCGCGGAACAAGCTCTTTCGAGGGGTCATATCGCAGGTGCGGCAGGCATTAGTTGATCGAAAACGCGTGTCTATCCCCCCCGTGGTGGTGGTGGTTGTTGGTTTAGTCGTGCGTTTACCCCCTTGACTGTTTATTGTGGCAAGGCATGCGGAATCGGAGGATACTCTATGATGCAGAGGCAGAGCCCACGTAAGATTTCCTTGCACCTTGCAGTCCCTCCATTATCCACCCGAGCTCTGCCTCAACTCCCCCCCCAGCTGATGCCCTACCTTTGAGTTGTCCTGTCTCTTTCTGTTGTTTCGTATCCCGCATGGCTATCCTTGATTGATGCACTTACTCCACACGTCAAAGCACTTCGTCCATACGTCCAAACGTCCCGCCCGTCAACCAGGACGTGGCGTTTTTCGAAGGGACCACAACCGGGAAGCTCACCTCCCGCCTCACGAGCGACGTGAACGCGATGGTGAGTTGTTATGCTTGTTGGTGGTGATGATGGTATTGGGCGATGTTTTGGATGGTTTCGTTAACGCTGCTGCTGCTTCTTTCGCTCTCACGCAGCCGCTTTTTTGTCGTGTTCACATCACACACGGGATCGACAGATGTACCCTCCACGTCCTGTGCTGATGAATGGTTGGCGGCATCGACTCTCGCCGTCTTTGTTGTCACAGTACTATGGTGTATCCCATGAACTTGCCGAACGACCCATGGTATCTTTCATTCCCGCCTACGCTCTATGAGAAATGCCAACGCGATGGCTCGCGTAAGCAGCGAACAGCCTTCTCAAGAACACGGACATTTGACCGAAGGCCTCTCGAGGCCTCTCGAAAAGGACGGCTCTCAATACGCGATCTCCCCTTACACTTTACCGTATTTACTTGTAGCACCCCGGGGCACCGTCACGGGCTGGGCAAGCCACACTAAATCCCGTATAGTAGACCCCCCCCCCCCCCGGGATATCGGTTGTACAAGAAGGAGAGGGAAGTGTACATGACTGAGCTGGGAAAAGTAGGGGGAAGATACAGGGAGATGTTTGAGGCATGGATTAGCCAGGATAAGACGGTAGCTGTACTGGGGCATAAGAAGTGGGCTGAAAAGGTGAGAAGTGATATTGATAGGATGGATAGACTAGGGAAGACATTGGAGCCAACTTTGGCAACGTAGGAAGGAACGATTGACCATCGGCGATCCGTCCTGTGGGAACAATGCTCCGTCCTCTCGAGGACGCGTGGCCAATGGTCTAACCGCGAAGGCATGCAAAACATAAAGAGTACCCCCCCCCCCCTCACCCCCTCTCGAATTCTCTCGATATAGTCCTTCGTCCGGTTTGGGGCAGTGCTTCCAGTCTTGCATTTCGTGAGCCCCCCTGAGCTGGGTTAGTTGACTGGAGCTTGCCTCTCGAAAGTTGCCGCATGCGTTTGTTTCCCAACTTCTTCGCGCGCCATTTCGGGTCTTGATGTTTCCTGAGTTTCGTTCGCAATCCCCGACGAATCGCAGGTATCGCCCTGCACCTACATGCTCGGCACGCTGTTCAGCAACATCCTCTTGCTGGCGGGCGGGATGGTCATGTGCTTCGTCACGAGCTGGCGCCTCAGCATGCTGGCCTTCACCACCGTGGGACCCATCTACCACATCACCCAGGTGACACTGACGACCTGGCCAGGTTGGCAACGACGCGGGTACTACGGTATGCAGACACAACGGGTTATTGTGGTGGTGGTGGTTGTTGTTGTTGTTGTTGTTGTTGTTGTTGTTGTTGTTGCTGTTATTGTTGTTGCTGCTGCTGGTTTTGGGTGTGGCGGCGAGAGGAGGGTGACCCTTGGCGAGTTCGGGTGTACTCGTGATCCTGCTGCGTGGCCCCTTCGACGAACGGACCCGCGCGTTCCTGCGCAGCCAGGACTCGGGAACAATTTTTAGGATGTCGCCGACCGCGCTACCAAGGACGTTTGGTCGTCTCCAATATATACCAGAAAGAAAGGTGTTGTTCGGCTCCGGGCGGCGCAACGATGCCAACAACAGCAAACAAAAACGCCAATTTCCCACGGTCATAACCGGTTCCTGCTTTACTTCCCCAGCGTTGCTCTCACATTTGTCCATTCTCATGTTTACCTCGCGCGACTCACCACTGTACACAGAGATACGCCAAGTGGAGCCAGCAGTTGAACGTAGAGATCTACGTGGCATACGGCGAAGCCAACGGCCACGCGACCGAGGCCCTCAGCAACGTCCGCACTGTCAAGGCCATGAGCACGGAAGTACAAGGTACGAGAGACGACGTAGTAATACAAGTGGGTAGGTTCCGAAGCTGGTTACAGCAGTGCCGGCTTACGGTATTAGATAATCGATATACAGTGGGGGGCCCTCTACAGTGCCGCGGGGTGTCCCGGGAGTACCCATTACTGCGCCGGGCACCGGCACTATTCAGAGGTACAGAACGACTTGGTATTTCGTATTTCAGTGTGTGCAAGCCGAAAACACGGGCACTATGGAGGGCCCCCTACGGTGCTGTATCGTGAACCACGTGGGCTGCTACTGCTGCTGCTGCTGCTGCTGCGGGGCTCTTTTGCCGTGAGCTGTTTTTCCGCGCGTTACTACTCAACGTGGTGCAGCGAACGAACGACATGCAGCCTTAACCCCCGCCTGCTCAATAAGGTACCAGCGTATATGTCGTCGTTTTACGTATAGACAACAAACGCCACATATATCGGTCGCCACATATGTCGGGCGCAGCAAGTGCGTGAATCCCCTCCCAACCGACGCCCCAACCGACCGCGTGTCCGAAACGTCACAATGTTTTTTGCTTCTGCGACATAAATGTCTCGAAAAACGATTCGGTTTCGCAAGAAATGGCCAAGTACGACACGGCGACGCAAGTCGCTCTGGACAAGGGAGTCAAGGACTCCTTTGGCTCCGCCGGCACGAACGCCATGTCCAGCTACCTCGACTTGGGGGCAGGGGCTCTGATCCTGTGGTACGGGGGCAGCCTGGCGATGGAGGACGACCGCAGGATGACGGCGGGACGGCTCATCACCTACCAGCTGTGAGTGGCCTCCTCATCTCGAGAGACCGTGAGTGTAGTAGGTGGTGGACCGGCCGGCCTTGTGTTGGCGGCGGAGTTTGGGGTCGTGATGGTTTCGTGGTGTCGTGGTTGCCGCGACCGGTATTGGGGGGTCCGGGTACTCATGTTTTGCATTGGCTTGTTTAGTTGTTAGGCCATTTACCACGCGTCGTCGAGAGGACGGAGCATTGTTCTCACGGGACAGATGACCGATGACCAAACGGGTCATCGGGGAGGACTTATTGGTGTTGTGGCGGTGTGGGTGGGTGGGTTATGTCGTTTGCGATTGTCGTTATGGATGGTGCTGGTTTCGAACCTTTGGGTGGGGTTGTCGTGAGGCACACGAGACGTCAGCAGGCGTTCTTTCCTGCCCTGTGAGCTGCAAGCAGCGAGTAGTGAGGTTCTGGTGGTGCCGCTGGTACTGGTGGTATGGCGCTTTCTGTTGAACCTGTTGTTGGTGTTGTTGATGTTGCTTTGTTGCATGGAGTCGGCCACCACCAAACAGGGGAAAATCTTGGTGTGTCGTGCGAGGCTCGTGACGTTTTGGACGCTGCTGTGAGCTGGACCCTTGTCCTTTTGGCGATGCTCGTATCTCGGGCAGGGATTTTGCCGCTACTTGTTGACAACGAGTTCCCGGTGGGATATGTCCCCACGTTTTGCGGGTGGATTCCTGTGCTCAGCTCAAATATGCATATGTAGTGGGATTGTCAGTAAGCGCTTTGACGCATTTCCTCTGCAGCAAGGGTAAATGCAGAAGCATACCAGGTAGCTCCTAACCCGTAAGATGTTTAAAGAAGGACATCCTGGAACAAACGCAAGCACAAGCTTCCTTGATTTGAGGTAGAAGTACATTTGCACAGCCGTACACGTCATGTTCTTGTTTCTACCAGCACCTCGGAACTGAGCACCAGTTGTTTCTTGAAGGGAATGTCCCTCAACTACTCAACCCCAAAATCTTGCATTTTGTTGCTGTGACCCATTTCGCTGCTTTTCCCCGGCATGGCAGGTACTGGAACATGATCAACAATTCCTGGCAAGCTCTTCTTGGTGTGATCAGCAGGTAAGGGGCTGTCTACCTTACCCTGCCGTAAACACTCCGGTTGCTCTTTCTGCTGCTGCTGCTGCTGCTGCTGCTGCTGCTGCTGCTGCTGCTGCTGCTGGTTATGTTTCGTTGTCTTACTGCCGATTGACTCACACAACACATGGAACATCGTCTCGCGGCAGCCTGACCCACCCCGTCTCCCTCCAAATCTCTGCCCAAACGTCACCCCCATCCATTGCGCGCACTCTTCATTGGCCCAAATCTGCCACGACACGCCTCTTTCCTTCTCAACCCCCCTGACCCTTGGTCGTCGATCCTTCAACACAAAAGATCACAACAACAAATACTCCCGGCCGCAAACACCCCGCGAACGCAACAAACCCAACACTGACTGCCGCAAGCGTACGCTCTCATCTCGAATTTTATCGAACACCGAAACAGCCTCACGAGGGCGGCGGGCGCGGCGCAGCGCGTGTTTAGCCTCATGGACTCCCTGCCGGACATCGACATCGACAGCGGCCTGCCCCTCGACGACCTGAGGTTCAGGGGGGAGATCGCGATCAAGGGGGTGGAGTTCACGTACCAGATGCGCCCAGACAACAAGGTGCGCGAGGAGTGGGGAGCAGGAGAAAAGACTCAGAAACGAGGCTGTCAGTGTCAAAAGGACTGGGGTGTGTCTTCTGTCTTGCCCCCACACGTTTGGTGGTTCTGTACCACAACGTCCGACTGCGGCCGCTGTTGCTGCCCCTGCCTGCGAGTTTTATGATTCTTTCCGGCGCTTTCCTTTCTAATGGTGCCGGCATGAACGTGCACGTCCAGGTGCTCAAGGGCGTGGACTTGCACATTCCCGCGGGAAGCACTTGTGCACTAGTGGGGCGGTCCGGGAGCGGCAAAACCACCCTCGTGCACCTCCTGCTCCGTTTCTACGACCCGCGGGTGAGCCCAGGCCAGCCTTCACGCGCAAGCGTATCTCTGCCACATTGTCGCTAGTTTTTTCGGCCTTGTTGGCTTTTGCGCATCGCCGCCACTAGCAATTGGCCGTGTGGGCTTTTGTCCATCTCCGCCACATTGCCACTAGCTGACCTTGTGGGCTTTGTCCACCTCCGCCACGTTGACACTCTTAATGTATCTAAGTATCTAGTTTTTGGCCGTGTAGGCTTTCTTTTCTTCTTCCGGGGGTTCCGCCAAAGACATGTTACGGAGGTGTACATACGTGCAAAGACATCCGAAACAGCAGTATCCCCGTCGTCTCGTTGCGAACGCAAGGCGTTCGTTCGTGGACACCCTCCCCGAATCCGACTTGCGTTGATCAGTATCATTCTCGGTTCCTCTATATTTTGGTGAATGTTTTTTTTTTTATATAGGCGGGGCAGATTTTTGTGGACGGAGTACCGCTGACCGACCTCAACCTCCGGGAGCTGCACCGGAAGACCGCCATCGTGGCACAGGACACCCAGCTCTTCGCCACGAGGTGCTCGTTTCTTCTTCTTGATGGTTGTTCATACCACGTTTCAACATGTTATCCGTGTGGATGAAAGGTGGTACGTTGGTCGCACAGGATCCATGCGGACACATCCAACATTGAGGAAAACACGATCCTTAGAAGCGTTCCGAGAGCCATGGGCACTCGGGATACCACCGACGGATACACGGAGGTTTTCGTCCATGCCACTTGCTGGCATGTGGCGCCACCTTGCTCAGCCTTTTTTCTTTCTGGGCCCTCTTTCTTCGCAAAAAAAAAATCAAGAACTACCAATGGAGAAGCTGCCTTCACCCAGGCAGCGGACTAGAGCTACCTCGAACCTTGGGACCTTTCTGCCACGTGGCCTACGGAAGGAGGCTGGTTCGCCGTCCAAACATATGTTTTTCGTTCTCCCGTCGAAAATGTCTGTTGTTGGTTATAAGTTTGCTGTCGCGCGACGGGGTGCCATCGCTGCCGCTTTTTTGTGGTTGTCGTTTACCTTGTGGTTGTCGTTTGCCTTGTGTTGCCGTCGTTTTGCGTCTGCCCACCCTACTTTCTAGTCGCTCATTTGTTCATCTTTTTTGTGTTGACGGTGCTCCATCTTCCCCCCTTATTTGCCGCGCGCCACTTGTCGAATGAATCGACAGCATCTACGACAATATCACCTACGGGTTGGAGGAAGGGGAGTTCACGGAAGAAGAGGTCTACGCCGCGGCCAAGCAGGCCTGCGCCCACGACTTCATTTCCGACTTCGCCGGTGAGTGGGCACGAAAACGAAAAGAGGCGTTTGTGCTTCGGGACGGGCCTTGCAGCGTATTCGTGATAGTGTGCGAGCACGCCAGGGTTGTTGTTGGTGTTTTCGTGATTGTGATGCTTTCGTGTTGGTGTAGAGCTTGTTTAAGGCCTGGCTGCCTAATTGAAATGAAATCGTTTGTCTTTGTTTGTGTCGTGTTTTTTTCGTTATTTTTGTTTCTCTGTGCCTGTATTGTTGCTCTAATTGGTACGCCAGTAGGACGTTCCGAGGTTTGGTGTACTTGATCTTTTTCTTCCACAGCAGTGGGAAAGGCTTGCGTTCTGCTTCGAAGGTTGTGTTCGGCAACCCTTCTTTCGTGGCTTGGTTCTATGCTGCTGCTGCTGCTGCTGTACAGATGGATACCACACACGGGTGGGCGAGAGGGGCACACGTCTCAGCGGTGGGCAGAAGCAGCGCGTCGCTATCGCCAGGTGTGTAGCAGTTTTTGTTGCATGTTGTCGTGCCTTGTCTCGGCACCATCGATCGCGGAACTGTACCCGGCTGGCCTGGCCAATGATCAACCCAGTTCCTGTGTGTTGTATGTGGTGGCTGTTCAGCTTCGTACGGCTCCTTGGGCAATATATTCTGAAAGCAGCTGTCGCCTTGGTAGGGCTGGGTGATGCTGGATGTTGTTGGAAAGCATGTTGATAGCGTCGTACCTAATAGGACCTACGCGCAACTTCTCTGGCATGTGGCTCCCTCGAGGAGGGGACTAGACCGTACACGACACACACAAATCTGTTCAACACCCCCAGCACCGACGGAATGTCCCCAGTTGTAACCAATTCCCCCACCAACACCCGTGCATTGTCCCCGTACCGGCCCGACGTCTGTGCTCGCGGCCAGGGCCTTGCTTCGTAAGCCTCGCATCCTTCTTCTGGACGAAGCGACGTCCGCCCTGGTGAGTCGGTCCTCCCTTACCTCCGAACACACCACTTCCGCACGGCAAGAAACGACACCGTTCGAGCCTGTAACTGCTGTCGCTTCGCTAGTAGACTTTTTCTCCTCCCGCTGTCATTACTCTACGTGTTCTCTTTTCCTGTTGTTGCCTTCGAGGTGTGTTGGCCGTTTCGTTAGAGCTTTGGTGATTTCGCGTTGCCTCTTCAATCACCCTGCTCCCCCCCTTGCCATTCGACCCGTGTTCCTCGTGCGTCGGCGGGATCCCTCACCTATTCTTACACCTCACTCGTTTTTGTTAATTTTTTCCTCCAACTCAGTGTTCTTAAAAAATATTTGTTTTTTTTTCGTTCTCTCCTCGTTTGTATTGTTCTTTGTTTTGTTGTTGCGTCCCCCTGTTCCCAGGACGCGGAGTCGGAGGCGTCGGTGCAGCAGGCCCTGGACAAGCTGGTCGAGAGGGGGGCCGGCAGCACCACCGTCGTTCTCGTCGCCCACCGGTAAGTCAGCAAAGAGCAACACGACCGTGTGGGAAAGATGACGACCATCATTTCAATCCGTTACATTATAATAGTGCTATAGCTCACCGACAACTACGCAATACCAATGGCTCGCTACGAGAATGAGAGGGCAAGATCACAGTCAAAACGTACGATCAATGATTGGGTCTACATTGTATTTTGCTCGTCGGTGTGGATGAAACACGTGTGGACGAACGGGAGAGCTAAAGGTCGAATCAAGAGCACTGCCGCCATTTCAAAGTGATCCATCTGCGAGGAGACAACAAACAACAGCGCGCAATGGTAGAAATGGTCGACACTCCGTCTGCCAATATTTATCATGCATGTGCATGCCTGCGGCCTTGCCTCACCGAAGGACTGCCTGTGATCGAGAACACGTAACAATCAACAGCAGCAGGTTGTGTGTATATCCTTTGAGTTTTTTTCAGACACAAAGAGTTGCTTCGCGCCAGTCCTTGTTCGGAAGAGTGTAAAACCATGAAGTTGGTTTGTCGCCGTCTCCGACTCATGAACATGTCAACCAGAGAGCCGTTTCACTTTGGAGGGAAGAGTTGGGATTGAGCGCTAGAGTTCGGGTAATGAAAGAGAAGAGCGTTGAGAAGACGCGCCACTTCACCATTCCACCGTCCTCTCATCGCACCATGGCGTGTACAACCACGAAACAGTCCCGACCCTCCATCCAAACAATATTCGCCAAGTTAACCCACTCCCCGTGTACCTGAACGCTTCATCCGACCCCCCCCCCCCCCCCCAGGCTGTCGACGGTGATGAACGCCGATAACATCGCCGTGCTGGACAAAGGCCGCCTGGTGGAGCAGGGCACCCACGACAGCCTCGTGAGGGCTGGAGGGGTGTACTCGAGCCTAGTGGCCCGGCAGGTAAACGCCGACTTTCGTCTGTGCCGTTTTTTTCAACCATTCCGCCGCGATTCTATCGTAAACACATGTACACCTGGGGGTTAAAATTGTTTTGGGCGTTCAATGGTAGGGTCCCTTGACACGAACGGCAGTAGGGTCGACAAACTAACTTCGTTTTTTAGTGTCATTGTTGGATTCTTGGAAGAACGGAGTTGCGTTCCTGACGTTTTTCTTGTGGGTTACCTTCGTTGCCGCTGAATTCTGATTGGCCGAGATTCCTGGGGTGGTGCGTGACGTCAGCTTTCGAGAAAATATACAAATCACGTGTACGTGCTCGGACAGTTGGACAGCTCTTCCAGCCCTGGCAGAACGCGTGCTTGTCGTTGACAGCTAATGCCTGCGTGTTCATATCTCCCCGTCTGTGTAACGCTCTGAGCCAAGTTACCGTTTCGCTCTCCCTGTTGGGGCGGTCGTGTTGCTGCGCCTGCTAGATCCCAGGCTTGAGATTGTTGGCAGCCTGACTCCAGGAGATGGTGCTTGTGGCACCTATTACGAACAACGATCTACCGAAGCGTGTTGTGGATATCATCTAACAATGACCAATAAGTGGTGTGTCGGGAAGTTGTCAATGGTCCAATCATCACTGTAGCGTTCCTCGTTTGCTCCTTGGGATGCAGCCGCTCACCGTTTGCTTGGTGCGGCCGGGCAGCTCACCGCTGGCCATGCGTCGCGGTTTTTTATGCCGCGCTTGCCTGGTAGGTGCAAGCCCGACTGGCCCCATTCCAGCCCGTATGCGGAGATGCAACGGCGGTGGACGACATTATTCTCAGCCTCCCGCCCTGACCGTTGTCTAACTTTCGGGACAATAGTTACAGGGTCCGTCGAATGCTGTGGTGGCTCTTTTCCAGACGCAGGAATTGACGCTTTGTCCTCGCGAGAGTTGATGCTTGGTCAATGATAATTGTCCACTAACGGCGGGCAACTAATGAGTTACTCCTCCTTTTGACCCGCCTCCAGATTTCTCGTGCGGCGAACACGCTGCAGCAGGAGACTGAGGGTGTTCAACCTTCTGGCGGCCCAGTTGACATCGACACCCTCATGGACGAGTTGGAAGGTAAGGGCACAACTAGTGTAATGTGTTTGATTGTGGGTAACCAAGCCTCAATGTAGAAAACAAGCGTGTGTACGGGAACAGCCGCTGCTTTCTATCTCTTCTTTGACCTCTTGTGGTGAATGCTACATGCAACCTTGCCGCTGTCTACGAGGCAAACATTGGTGCACGCTGTAGTGTGTTTTTTCAAGCCCATGACGGTAGAAACCCGTAGAGAGACGGGTAATGCAACTATCTACACGGCGACCTTGGGAAGTGTTGTAGGTGCATTGTTTTCTAGTGGGCGATCGACCTGATCTGTCGCTTGTAGCTTTTAGGACGACCTACCCTAGGATCCTCACTTGCTACCGTGCTGTCTCTGGTGCTGTGCTGCTTCTCTCTAGCTCCCTGGCTCTTTAGCCAGGGCTGTGTAATGCGTCCCTTTTCGCACTACAATGACTATTAACGTTCGATTGAAATTACGCAAGCAGGTGTCTGACCGGGTTTGTCCAATCGGATAATTGGGCGAATGCTTGTATGTTGGTGGGAGGTGTACGTGCTGCTGTGTTGCACGTCTCGCCTTTTGCCGGTGGGAGGTACTGCCCCACGTGCTTGTCGTTCCCTTCAGTCTAGCCATCGCGGAGCGAGTGTTGAGGCCCTACCCTTTCCCAGCCCCTGTCCCTCCACACCAGAGTCCGTGTTCTCTCTTTCCCCTAGGATTCACGCTTGCTGCTCTGTCGTTACTCACTAAAGTGTTTT